GAGCTGAAGGCCGCTATTGAAGCATCCTGGTCTTTCATAACACCTCAGCAGTGCCACAGGCTGATGGCTTCCATGCCACGCCACATTGAAGCAGTAATTGCTGCAAAAGGGGCCCAAACCAAGTACTGAGTACATATGCATTCTTATACTTTTCAGAGGTCTGATATTCTATGTGCAATCCTTGTTTTATTGATTGCATGTAATATTCTAATTTTCTGAGATTGTGGATTTGGGGTTTTAATGAGCTGTAAGCCATAGTCCTCACAATTATGACAAATCACGGCTTGAACTATCTTGCTTTGCATGTAATGAGTCTCTCTCATATATTAGTTTCACCTTTTAAGTTTCATTACTGAAATAAATGAACTTTTGCACGATATTCTAATTTTTCGAGTTTCACCTGTATGTTTGTAGAAGCAGTCTGCATGCCTAGGTGCTTGATTTTATACACCTGTAGCCATGGAGGTGATTGGAACACCTGAATCCAATGATTTGTTGGGGTGTCCCAATACTTTTGGCAATATAGTGTATTTTGCACTAAGGTTGTTGTGTGTTGTTGGTTGGTTGGTTGTTGTTTTTGTGCTGTATTGTATCAATCTACTTACAGTAGATCTCTTACAAAGCCCAACTCTTAGAAAACTAAAAGTCCTCCTTTGCAGTGGGGCTGTGCCTGCACTGTAAGGGTTAACTAATAGTTTCTGTCTATGGCACAGGTGTCAAACCGGCGGCCCTCCTGCTGTTGCAGAACTGCAAATCTCATGAGGTATTTCAAGGTTGCAAGTTAAGAGCATGACTGTTAGAGGCATGATGGGACTTGTAGTTCTGCAACAGCTGGAGTGTTATCAGTTTGACTCCCCTGGTCTTGGGGATAGGTAACAGTCTTACCTGGTCCTCTGCTTCCCTGGCAGACGGTGCTCCCCTACACTCCAGCAGTGGATGGATGGTCTTTTGGTGCCCTCACATCCAATGCAGGGCTTTGGTCCTTGTATTGGGCTTGATGTCTGAGACATCAGATGGCTGAATTGCAGGAGGCTGCATGGAGCAGCCTTGCATCTCTGAAAAGCCTGAAAGAGAGTAGGATTAGGTAAGTAAAACTGTCTTACGTGGTACCCCTAGACTTAAACACACAGTTATCCCTTGCAGTGTGGATGCAGTCCCATTGCAAGAGAGGAATTTTAGTTTACTCAGAATTTTGCTTTACCCACTTCTCTACCGGCATGTTTTACTCAAAATTACTTTAAACCCCCTAACAGGTGTATATTTTCTGAAAGCTGAGGCCCTGTAGAATAAAGTGGTGGCATTTGCAATCTTTTACGTCACATGATATTTGTGCAACTGTTTATCAAATGTATATTTTCAAGAAAGAGTACACTAAAATGAATTTTAGTGCCAACAAGCAATATACAATGCCCGATTTTTATTTTTTATTTAAAGAAAAAAAGATGGGGTTGTGTTGAGTAAAGAGATACCAAGCATATCAAGCCTTAAAATTGAGTGTGTCTGTGAAATTGCAAAAAAACTATGGTACCCCAAATTCTCATTAGACAACACTTTATCAGTTTATAGTTAATCAAGAACTATGGCCCTATGATTATTACATGTGTAACGCGTGACACAATTTGTTTACATACATGCACGTGCTTGCTCTACATGCTCTTTTGCATTTGATGTGTACGAAAGCAATGTGGTTGCCTTTAAATTTACTGAAGCGCACAAAACTGAGGCATTTCACCATGATTTCAGACTCCCTGAAGGAGCAGGAGAGCCTAAGAACTGCTGAGGTGGGGGGGGATGGAATGTTAGATTTAGCTTTTAGAGTCCTCAATTTAAAGCTAAACCTAATCTGGATGGATGGAGAAATTAGTACCATGCTCATAGCTGTAGCACTTGTGAGCTTGTTTTGAGTGAACACGCTTTAAATTGCGTATGCCCTTGGAATGGCACCAATTTATGCCATTTAAAATTCTCCATAGGCGATGGTTTAAACGCCCTTATAGGTTACCAGTTTAGAGTTTTAACAGGAGGTCGGGTGCTAGAATTATTGCTCTTGCTCTGACACTCGCAGCAATACCTCACAATTGTGGTGTGATCACTGTTTACATCTGCATGCGGGACCTACATATGCAAACACATTTGTGTAAGCATGGGGCCGGGAGTGCTTTAAATTTATTTTAACAAAACATTTTTTTTTCACGGTCTCTGTAATTTTTAATTAACTTTATTGCCATTACAAGGGATGAGCAACATTCCTTGTGACAGCATGGGTTGTGACAGATCCTCTTTATGGAGAGATCTGGGGTCTATTAGACCCCAAATCTCTCTTTTGGCCTTCAGTGCAGTTGATCAGACAAAGATCGATCTGATCGGCTGCTTTCCTGGCCGGCAACGGCCAGGTAAACAAAGAGCCGAAACCGGAAGTGATTAAATCCTTGTCGTACGGGTGGGGACCTCCTGCTGCCGCCTGCAGAAGTGACTTCTGCCTACAAGAGAATTGCCGGTTGCACCTTGTATGGAGTAGGGATCTCAACAACTGGTTTGGTAGATTCCAGCCGCCTCCTGTCATGCAATCTAAATCAAATAAGGACTGGGAGCAAAGTGCATTAGTAAAAAATGTTAATCAAAATGTTTCCTTACATATGCAGTGAACTGAAAAATTAGGAGTGTGCCTTTTGGGTGTCCCCACCATTCCTGAATTTCAAATGTCAACTTGTTCATATTTTTTTCATTTCATTGTATCATGTAAGGAAACTTTTTTTTGACTAAAATGTTCTACTGTTGAACTCTGCTCCTGGTATTCTTTTGCTTTGGATTATATGAGGGGTGTTCAAGTCAAACTGGGACTTTTAATTTTACAGGTGTAAAAAGGAATGGTAGCAATGCAATAGTAAGTGGCAAGTGTGTCCTATTACTGATGGGCAGCGCACATGTCGCAGGCCATTCCAGAGACCGTTACTCAAGATGGCAGACAACAGTGTTTGTGCATGCATGGAACAGCATGTGGTGATAATGTTTCTTGTGAACGAAGGCGTAAAACTATCGGATATCTGCAGAAGACTTCAAGCACATGCAGCACAGTGGCTAAATGGTTAGCACTTACGCCTGGCGGTACTAGGGTCGTTGGTTTGAATCCCAACTATGGCACCACTTTCCTGGAGTTTGCATGTTCTCCCTGTGCCTGCGTGTGTTTCCTCTGGGTACTCCAGTTTCCTCCCACACTCCGAAGACATGCTGGTGGGTTAATTAGATCCTGTTTAAATTGGCTCTAGTATGTGTATGTATGAGTGTAAGTTAGGGACTTTAGATTGTACACCCCCTGAGAGGGACTGATGTGAATGTACAATATATATGTAAAGCACTGCGCACATTGACGGCGCTATGCAAGTACCTGTAATAAATAAGCACAATACAGTGATGAGACACTCCCAGCCCACAGCAGTCATTCCTGTGAACATTCAGCACATGGAATGCCTGATCCTGGATGATCAACGCATAACCTGTCGTGAAATTGCACAAGAGACAAATCTTTCTGTGGGAACAGTGAACACCATGATGATGAAGTGAAGCAGGCTGTCCTAGGATGGTTCAGATGAACTGACAAATCTTTCTATGCCGACGCTTTCTAGGCATTAAAGTGGTTGTGAATGCAAATATAAAAACAATTTACTTTTTGCAATAAATGAATACGTTTTAATGTAAACATGCATACAACTGTGAGTGTACTTCAGAAAAATGCTCCTTTAGCTTGTCTCGGCCCTCCAAAAACTGCTGGTCTGTGGGTGTTGCTTAGGATCAGAGAATAGTAGGTGGAGATATGTCACACAATCCCTCAGTTAGTTATACGCACCTTCCAGGCTCGGCTCATGAACGTCGCAGCTATCTGACATCTCTATGCCTGAGAGCCTGTCTCGTGAGTGCATTCAGGGGAATACACAGGAGCCAGTGACTGTCAGTTCTGCTTACAGCACAGGATCTGTGCTAATCAGGAGAAAGCTGGTAGGAAGGGGTTAATGGTAAAATCCTAGGAATCCTACAGCCTAAAGTGACAAAGTGGATCAGGAAACATTCTCATGTAAAACTCTAAACCGCAATTCACAAGCTAGGTGCTGTGAATAGAGCAGGTCAATAATCGGCTGTCAGCAGACTTGTCTAGATAACTACAGCATTACTGAAGTGATGCCAATCTATGTCATAAGTCACTGGTGCGGGTTCTGATCTTGTGAAAGCAGAGACCAGAAGGGAGAGGAGACCAGAAGGGAGAGGACACCCGCTCCCCCACCCCTTTGCAGAGTATTACACGGAGGCTCATACTGGTCTTGTCTTCAGCACAGCCTGTCACTCACAGGAGAAGGGGAGTGGTGACACCATTTTTCTACTTGTCGGATTTATTCTGTTTAGAAGAGCAGGGGAAATTTCTGGATAAGGGGATTGCTTCAAGATACCAAACTAAACTCAAATGCTTAGTAAAGGGTAAAATCTATTCAACTGTAGGATTAGATTGATTAGTGTTTTTTAGGTTTACAACCACTTTAAACGCTGGGATAAGTGTATAAATGTAGCAGGGGAGTATGTCAAGAATCAATGCAGTTTTCACTCCTTGAAATGTGTTCTTTTTTTCTATAAACTCAGAAGTCCCAGTTTGACTTGAACACCCCTTGATATATCAAATAGAGATCACACAGAAAATTGCACTCTTCTACTCATTTGGAGGGCACAGCAGTCCTGTCTGTTAGCTGCCTGTTGTAGGAGTAATCTGTGGAGCTGATTTCCTTTTCCTTTTTCTGGTCCTGTGGTCAGTGCAGTCTGCGGTCTGCGGCTTGACAGGTCCCTCTTGTTTGTTTTGTTTTTTTTTTCTCCCCCTTGTCCCCTCTGGAGATTGCAAAGACCATACTTTTATTAATGTTTTTTATGATAATTTACCTTTTTAAAAAAGCACAGTAATTTTGCCTTTTTTTTTTTTTTTTGCTGTCTTAATTTACCTCTGCTGTTTTTCTCTTGGTCAGAAACCTGCCACGGTTCTTCCTTTATCTCAACAAAAAACTCCTTTAGGGAGAGCTAAGCAAGCACCTGTGTTGGCTAAAATTCAAAGCCCAGTAAAAACAGCTCGGCAAGCAGATGAGAGCTCTGAGGAGGAGTCAGACAGTGATGAAGAGTCAGCTGCTAAGGTATCTAAAGGAAGATTCCTTTTATGTGTACATAATTACTGTTCCCACATAGACAAATGGCACAATCCAACTTCAGAACAATATTCTTTTTAAAGACTTTTCTAAAATGAGTACTCTTACTTTCTGCACGTTTATTCTTATGGGTATTGTGCAACAAGGAAAGACCATGGGAAAAATTCCCAGCAAACATCCTTATATTGGGTCAAAAGGGGATTGCTGAAAAGTCTAGCAGTTCACTGTATATTTAATCGCATAAAAAAATAAGATGCACATCCACTGGCATTGAAATCAGTACATGGCCTATGCTAAACAGTAACCCATAGACATATAACATTTGTACATGTGTTATACTGCAAGCTCTTAACGAAAATGCTTTTCTTTCTCATCCATTGAGGAACACGGGTAACTTTCAGGTAATACTGCTGCCTACAAAATAATTGTAGGATAACTATGATCCAGCATGCTATATCAAGCACATGAATAGCAACAGGCAATGCCCTTTAAAGGAATCCAAGTAAAGGATTTTATGAGTACAAAAATCCTATTTTCTCTCTCTTTAGATCAGCTGAGTATAACCCCTCCTTCTACCAGCATGCCTTCATTTTCTGCTAGTGTCCTAGAGTATGCATTTCATTTTTTTTCAGCTCTGCTGTCTAAAAGACTGACCTCTTTTTACTAGTGCCATTTTTCTCAATTTTTTTTTCTTCATCAAGACATTATTATTCTTATTATACATGATTTATATAGTGCCAGCAGTTTGCGCAGCACTTTACTATATAAAGGGAGACAATACAGCAACGACACAGTTCAATACAAGAGGGTTAGGAGGGTCCTGCTCCTTGGGGCTTAAGAGGGAGGGGCTGGTGGTATAAAAGGTAATAACTGTGAGGGATGAACTGATAGGAGAAATAGAAGATTTGGTTATTAGTTGAAGGCAGGATAGGCTTTCCTGAAGAGAGGTTTTCAGAGATCGCCTAAAAGTGGACAGAGTAGGCGATAGTCTGATAGATTGGGGTAGAGAGTTCCAGAGGATGGGGGAGGCTCTGGAGAAGTCCTGGAGACAAGCATGCTAAGAGGAGACAAGGGAGCTAGAGAGCAGGAGGTCGTGGGAGCAGCGGAGAGGACGGTTTGGGTGATATTTGGAGACAAGATTGGTGATGTAATTTGGGGCAGAGTTATAAATGGCTTTATGTTATTGTTTTGATTTTTATTAGTTGGTCAATGGGAAGCCAGTGGAGGGACTGGCAGAGAGGGATGGCAGATATGGAACAGTTGGTAAGGTGGAGGAGTCTGGCAGCATTCATGATAGACTGAAGAGGGGATAGCCTGCAATTAGGTAGGCCAATGAGGAGAGAGTTACAATAGTCAAGGCGAGAGATAACAAGGGAGTGAATAGTTGCTTAGTTGTTTCAGTAGTTAAAAACGGGCGTATCTTGGAGATGTTGCGGAAGTTGAAGTCTACAAGATTTGGACTGTGATTGGATTTGGGGCTGAAAGGATTGATTGGAGTTCAGGGTTACACCTAGTACCCTGGCATGAGGGTCGTATGGTTGTAATATTGATCTTGATGGAGAAGTCAGGGGAGGGGGCACGGGCTGGATGGAATAGTATGAGCTCAATTTTAGAATAATTTAGTTTGAGGAAGTGGAGTGACATCCATGCTGATATGTCACTTAGTAGGTTAGCAATGCGCAAGGAGACTGAATGAGTGAGGTAAGGCTATCTTCTGATATTGCAACTAGAGCTGGTCTCTGACTGCAGCTACCTGGCACAGCTGTCCTCGGTCTGGCTTTTGGAGTGTCACATCCAAACTCTACTAGACTGGACATTGCAGGAAGAAGTTCAGCACAGGGTTCTTCGAGTGCTTTACAGACTCCGTTCTTATCTGTTTGCCGTGGAGAACTAACCAGGTCCAAAGCCGCTGGCATGGTCTCGGCCGGCATTTACCCTGTCTCTGAATCTTTCTGTGATTAGGTCTGTCAGGTCAAGCACTGGGTGCTATGTAGTTTACATTGGTCATTCAACACCCTAATATACCCTGCTTCCTGCCGCTTTCCACCACGGAAGGGGTTAACACTAGGACTGAGCGCTAACATCAGTTAGTCTGTGGAGTGTTGTACACTGTTTACCCACTGCTCCTTCTGCCTGAAAACAGCCACATGGAATTCTGTTCCTGCTGCCCGCCTGCAGTGCTTTGGATCACTTCTGTCCACCCAACCATCATTGGCTACCATGTGTTTGGTTTTGTGAGAACCTGAGGTCTGTGTCGCACCCTGAGCCTCCCAATGTCATAACACTACACCTTTTGTAACATGTCTGATTATAGACCCAGAGGGCAGTTCTGCAACAGGTGCCCCCAGCTCACATACTCCTATGGAGGCTACAATGTCTCCATCTTATACTGTGTTGCTTCAGGATTTGCCAGACGAGCTTATCCTAGAAGAGTCAGTATTCTGCAGTTCCTCTCAAATTAAAAGACCATTTCTAAAACACAAGGATCATCCAGTGCTGTTTCAAGTCAAAGACTGCTTTTTCACCCTCTGTTCAAACTCCTCTACAGAGACCCCCTGACAAGCTGTTTGCTTCCCTAAATGCTTAATAGCTTTGTATAATAAGAGGATTGTAGAAAAAGAGGATTATGTACAAAAATGGGCTATCCCCACTGTGGACCCAACAGTGTCCTGCCTTTAACCAAAGCGGCCCCAGTAGAAAATGCACCTATCTTTAAGGACTCAATTGATAAGTGGTTTGAAGCCATTTCTAGAGCACTGTTCTCTATGATGGGTCCCGCTCTTTGCCCCATTTTAACTTTGACTTTACTTTGCCAGACCATGGCTGGTTAAAACACCTTAAAGCAGACGTAAACCTGCCACAACAGGAGCGTTTTGCCGTAATGTGCTAGTATGCAAAGCATATTGGTACACATGAGTACATATTAGTACATTGTGGCACACTAACAGTACTTTGCAAATGATCCCTTCTTGCACTGCAATGTCAGCACTTCCATCATCTTCATCAATGGCACTTCTGTGTTCTCCTGGTCTTTTTTATGTTCATAGTCTCACCTTATAGGGCCAGATTGAAATGATGTAACATTTATGTATGCGCCTAGGAATATTACTTCCTCTTAGGCACACCACTGTTCTGAGATGGTGTATTGAGCTGCATATACATGGCTCAGTGTACACAAACGCTGACAGGCAATTATGACAGGAGAGACTGCAATCCATAAAAACTTGGAAAAACACTCTGGATAAAGCGCACAGATGTGTCCCAAAGGAAAAAAGTGAAATAGTGAATAGTGTCAACAATAATTATTGGTTAAAAACTCACTGCTGCCTTGGTAAAAACACGTTTGTGAAGAGTATAGGCAGGAGCCAGGCACTGTGTAGTTTTTTGGTCATATAAAACACCTTATGTACATGTTTCGCGTGCATGTACTTTTTCAAGTCCTTTCTCTCTCTCTCTCTCTCTCTCTCTCCCTCTCTCCACTCCCACCCCCCCCCCCCTTTTGCTTTTCATTTTTATGATGTTAAAACCTTGGAAGTGTACTTCCCGCAAGGTCTGTCTTGGAAAGCACACTTCACTTGGGGTGAATCTCAGGGCTTTCACACCAGGAGTCCTCTACTTTCTATAAATAGGTCAAGACAGCGGTTTTACTCTGCATCAAAGGTTAGGTTTCATCCCTTTCTTTCTTGTATCAGATTTAAAAAGGGCACTCCATTATTAAAGCGTATCTCCACCCTCCCCACCACTCCATTTTTTTTTTTTCCAGACCATTTCAAACTTTGTGGATTATAACTCTTTCGGATACTCACCCGGTGGATCTAGTGATGTCCTGTAAAAGCCTCACAGAATTCTACCCACTGGTCGGTCGCACGCCACCACCTACTTACGTGATGTCATCTGGAGGCCCGTGTGCTCTTTCAGGTACAGCCACTGGGCTTCCCAATAATGCACCGCTGGGCCCACCCCTCTTCCTTTCTCACTGAAGGACTGTCTCCTGGGATATGTGACCTGCATATCCGTAGAGGTGCAGGGGGCATAATGCATGTCATTTGCCTAGGTGAATGATGTGCATGGGGGGCGGGCCTGACATTTTTTAACCCCCCCCCCCCCCCCAAAAAAAAGTGAGTTCAGTATACGGAGGAGGGAACCTAAATTTGAGGTTGAAAATTCGCTTTAAGACCTTTTGTACAAAAAGTTTCCAATGTTCTTTCCCTTATGACTCCATTAGCTATGAATGTGGTTCTCTCTGTGCAACAGAAACCACCACTTGAACCCATTGGAAACTTTCTTCTCTGTACTTTCACCTACGAGGTGGTATTCCTTGTAGTCATCACTTCTGCAAGATGAGTGTCTAAAATGATGGCCTTATCTTGCAAGGGATATTTCGGGCTTGCATTGGAACATGGTGTTGGCCCAGGGCTTCAGAACTTAACCTCAACCAGAAGATTGTTACTTCCTACCACAGTAGTGTACCAACATAATTTTCTTTCATTGTCTAAATGTAGCTTAGCCAATGATTTTTTTTTTTTTTTCCCCCAGAAAGACTTATTCCCTCTTTTTAATTATGGATGGTCCCTGTATGGGTGCACTGGCTTTCTTGTTCTACTATCTTTAGGTGGCCCAGACAGACCATCATTTTAAGCTTATGGTCTCTTATTCAGGCAGTTCCTTGAGCTGAAGGTTGTTGTCAGTATTTGCTGTGTTGCCCACCCCTCAGTTGGACTGCTTATAGACATCCCAAAGTTAAAGGACTTCCTGTGTATCTCAATGGATGAGAAAGGAAATATTATTTTTGTACTTGTGTATGAACGGACTTCACAAAAAGCATTTTACAACAAGTCCCACCCTTGGTAAACTGTGCACTAAAATGTTAGTATTTTATACTGTAAATATGTAATGGTGTTTCTTAAAAATGTACACTAGTATTTTCATTTCTTTAAATTATAAAATTCTGTTTGTGCACTTGATTAGAAACCAACAGCTGTTCAGTCTTCTCAGCCAAAAACACCCTCAGGGGAAGCCAAACAGACCACTTTAAAGGCTACATTGAAGACCCCTTTAAAAATCGCGCAATCAGTTAGCGAGAGCTCAGAAGAGGAGTCTGACAGTGATGAGGAAACAGTTGCTAAGGTATTTTAAAGGAATTTGCATTCACCGTTTCTGAGCATGCCTATACTAAATAATAAAATTTGAAAGAAGCCCCCTTTTCCCCCCCGTACTTGTGTAAACAGCAAATTCGCATGTCCGTCCCGCACGCATGCGAAAACATTGATAGCGCCACACGTGAGGTATCACCACGAACGTCCGATCAAAAGCATTAATTCTAGTACCAGACCTTGTTTAAATCTAGTGTGGTAACCTGTAAAGGCTTTAAAAGTGTCGTCTATGGATAATTTCATGTACCATAGTTTGTCACCGTTTCCCGGGCTTGCACAGTTTTAAAGTGTGACATGCTTGGTATCTATTTACTCAGTGTAACATCATCCTTTTTTATAATTTTGCTAAAAAAAAAAAAGTAATTTTGTATTTGTGCGCACTAAAACTCCTGTATATTTTCCCCAAAAAATTGCGCTTGAAAAACCACTGCGCAAATACCGCATGATATGAAAAAGAATAAAAATTTGCAACGCCCACCATTTTTTATTCTCTAGGGCCTCTGCTTAAAAAAAATATGCTTGGGGTTCTAAGTAATTTTCTAGCAAAAAAAAATTTAGATTTTCACACACAGTATGGAAGAAGTGTCAGAATTGGCAGGGAGCTAACCTTAGTTAACATTTTACACGCCTAAATTCGAATTCTCATCTTGATTATGCTGTTGCTTCTCTTTTGACCAGAAATCTGCTACAGCTCTTCAGTCAACACAGCAAAAATCTCCTGGTGGGGGCCCTAAACAGACAGCTGTGTTGGCCAAGTCAAAGATCTCACAGCCAAACCGTGAAAGCTCGTCGGAGGAGTCTGACAGTGATGAGGAAGCAGCTGCTAAGGTATTGAGGGGTATTTTTCTTTATTTCAGTGTTTTTATACAGGTATTTGCTTTGACCTTTCTGAATTCCTATATATTGACAGATTATACCAGAGTCTTTATATACCAGCAGTATTGATACATTTTGACCATGTTGTTTTGTTTTTTTTATAAAGACCAGTTCGTCAGTTCAGGTCAAGATGTCCACTCCCTCTTCTGCTCTGACTGTTAAGCGGCCTCTTTCCATTCAGGTTCCAGATTCTGATGCTGATTCAGAAAGCAGTGAATCTTCTGATACAGAGCATAAGCAGGTATTTAAAAAAAAAAAAAGTAGTATGAACTGTCCAATATCTTCTACACAGCAGAAATCAGACTGTGGGGAGATCACCAATCAGGTTCTGTTTCTTTGCACATTTTTCTCAGTCTTGAATATGTTAGCTGGTGAGAGAAGGGGTTGAGGAGAAGAGTCCTACAGGGTGATACATGGACAAATACGAAGTTATCCTTTTTGGTTACACAGTGTGGGAGCAGTGTACTATCGTAAAAGAATTACAATTAATTATGATTATAAAGCAGTTTTCAGTTTGCACACTTGTATTTCATTTGGACATTTGCCATAGCTATAGGCTGCAGATCTGCATTAAGATTTTATTTATTTATTTATAGCGTTCTAAAAGCACTGCGCCGGTTAAAGTTACTGAAGGGACACCTACCGTAGTTGGTAAGCTGGTAACCAAACCTGCTGCAGCAGATGCCTCAGACAGCAGTGACTCTGATGATGAAGAAAAAGCTCAGGTATAGCCTACTTTCTGCCAACTCAGTAGCCTAGTCATTTGGTTAATAACCACAGAAATATATAATAAAACTATTTTATTTTGGTTTTCCTATAGCCTAAGCCTTCAGCTGTGTCAAGTGGAGTAAAGGGAAAACAGACAGTTTCCACTTCTTTGAAACCAGATGACCGCTCAGAAGAAAGTGAATCTGAAAGTGATAAAGAGCCTGTAAAACTGGTATGCGACAACAAATATTGCCCTTTTTGTATCTTTGGCACTTTATTTTAACCAGTCCTCCACGGAGCCAATTCTGACATTTCTTTCCTACATATATAAATCAGTATTTTTTGCTAGAATTACTTAGAACTCCCAAACCTATCTCTATCAGGGATGTTGACTGGATATCGCCCGACACCCGGGACATGTAGTTCCGGGCGCCGGGCAGGTAGTATTCTTCCAACCTTGCTGCGGGAAAGTGGAAGTATTTGGACGGCAGCATTGCCTCCGATTGCTTCCACTCATGTCTTCTTCCCTCCCTTTCTTGTCCTGACCTGGAAGTGATGTTATGATGTCACTTCCTGCTCCCCGTTGACAGATTCGAGGCCAGGAAAGAATGTAATGCAGTACAATGTGCATTGCATTACATTCAGTGGAGCACAGGGGAGACATCCAGGGTCTTTTTAGGCTTCGGATGTCTCAATAAAAAGAACCTGTCACCAAAAATCATCACATAGGGACTGAAAACATTTTTTTTTTTTATTGTTAAAATGAAAGTTACACCTAAGCACATAACGCGCCCCCCCCCCCCTATATATATGCACGAACAAATGTAAAGGCCTGCATGTGAAAACGTTGATTGCGATACACATGTCACCATGCATGCTAGAATGAGAGCAGTAATTCTAGCCAAAGACCTCCTCCATAAAACTATACTGATGGCCTAAGGGGCTTTAAAAGTGTCGCCTATAGAAAATATAGGGTACTGAAGTTTGTTGCCATTTCAAAAGGGTAACTTTAGTGTTTTTTTTTTTTTTTTTGTTTTTTGTTTTTTTTGTTCTCTAAGATTAACTTACTTTTTTTTTTTTTTTACTGATTGAAGTAATATCATGCAACATAAAAACTTGTAACTACCACTATTTTATTCTCTAGGGTTTCTGCTTTCAGAAAACATCATGTTTGGGGGTTTTATATAATCTTCAGGCCTAAAATATGTTTTTAAACTTGCAAAAAAATGCAAGAAAGGCTCTGGCAGCAAAAGGGATAAAGGATAAGCCTGACACTCCCCTTCCCTTATGAGCACTCAATCAGTGCTCATTACACTGCAAGGTCTTTCTTCTCCCTGCTAGTTCCCGGAGACAGGCAGGGGAGGAGAAGATAAACTATGCAATGTTAAAATTATTACATGTTTAGGTTACCAGAAAGCCCCTTTTGTTCTTAAAAGCTCCAGACATTCCTAAAATCACCTCTGATTTATTGTTTTGGTTAAAAACTTTTTTTTTTTTTTTTTTTATCTGGACAAGTAGATTGTCATGAGGGACAACTACAGTGGGACACAGATTTTAGTCCGTGGACAAGTTGTTTTTTTTGGTTTTTTTTTTTTTTAATTTCCACATCCCTGATATATATTTTTTAGCAGAGGCCCTAGAGAATAAAATGGAGGCTGTTGCAATTTTTTATGTCACGCGGTATTTGTGCAGCAGTTTTTCAAATGCATTTTTTTGGGAAAAAATACACTTAAATTTATTCTATTTCACACAAACACTATATAATACCTATATTTCTTTTGTTTTTGTTACAATATAAAAAATGTTACACCAACTAAATAGATACCTAATATGTCACGCTATAATATTGCGTATGTCTGTGGAGCTGCACCAAACTATGGTACCTAAAAATCTCCTTTGATGACACTTTAAAAGCCCTTACAGGTTACCAGTTTAGAGATACACAGGAGGTCTGGAGCTAAAATGAATGCACTCTGACGTTCATTTCATGACAATACCTCACAAGTGAGGTATGATTACTGCTTACATATGTGTGTGGGACTTGCGCTTGCACATAGGCACGGGGGGAGGGGCAATATAATTTTTTTCTTCTAAATTTTTATTTTATTTGAAACTGTTTACACTGCCTCTTTATTTATTTTCAACTTTATTGCTTTCATAAGGGATGAACCACATCCCTTGTGAAAGCATGGGCCATGACAGACCCCAAATCTCTCCGTAAAGAAGACCTATTAGACCCCAGATCTCTCTCTGGTCTCCAGTGCAGCCGATCAGGCACAGATCAGTCTGATCAGCTGCTTACCTGGCCATTAACTGTTTCCGGGGTCGCCGAGAGGGAGGACTGATTGTCAGTTCCTCTCTTTGTCTAGTGCCGCGGTCGCAGTGGTTCTGAGCTCTACCATCACAGGAGAAGCCCGGGAAAGGCAGCAGGGGTGGGGGGAGACAACTCTCCGCCACCCACAGAAGTGATCCAGTGGCTGTTTAGCCACTGAAATCACTTTTGCTGAAAAGAGAATTGGTATAAACCACTCTATTTGTGTGACAAAAATTATAAAAATTTCATATGGGTACAGTGTCGCAGTACTGCGCATTTTGTCATTCAAAATGCGACAGCACTGAAAACTGAAAATTGGCCTGAGCAGGAAGGGGGTATAAGTGCCTGGTAGCCAAGTGGTAAACATGTCCAGTAAAAAAAAATGTAAATAATTTTGTCATAAATTTAGACCAAAATGTATTCTGCTACTTGTCTTTGCTAAAAATAAATCTAAATACGTGTAGATTAATTGGTTTATGTGAGAGTTATAACCTTTACAAATGGCGATATAGATACTGGAATTTATTTTTAATTTTTTTACTAGTAATGGCGGCGATCAGCGACTTACAGCGGGACTGCAGTGGGCATTCTGACACTGGGGGGAACTGACTTGGTGTCACTGACATCCCCAGTGACTCCAATACAGTGATCAGTGCTTGGAAAAAAAAAAGCGCTGACACTGTACTAAGGGCACTGGGCAGGAAACGGTTAACATTAGGGGCGATCAAAGGGTTAACTGTGTACTGTTTCACTGTAAGCTCTGTGGTTTTGCTTCACTGTAATCACACTGCTTTGGATGACTGTGCTGTGCAAATCATCCAAAGCAGTGTGCCACGAGCTGACAGGGAGGAGAACTGTTGTTTTTACATACATTTTTACTCCCCATCAGAGATGCTCAGCAATCACTGACCGCCTGCGAGTAATCACCGGGCAGGACCTGGTGATTGGCGGCGCGGGTAGTGTGCGCTTGCGTGTGCCCCCAACCCAGAGATGCAAAATCGTGTATATATATATTTGATTTGCACACCTGAAAGGCCCTGCAGCAGTATATCTGCTATACGGCGGTCAGTGAGTGGTTAAAGTGTTCAAAATGGTGGTCAAAATGTAAAATCATATATTCATTTCCACAATTTTATTTAAATTATTTCTTGCCTACTCTTATTAATCTGAACCATCTTGAAGTTTGTAAACCTACTTTTTATGAGGATTCCTTCAGTTCTGTGACACATATTCAGTATGTTCTGTAAGTAGTCACTGCTTTGTTAAACGTTTCAGAGAGCATGCCTTCTGAACTAGAGAAGCACAGAGAAGGAGTGAGTCTCAGGAGGCAGAGTCAGTACAGGAATCACTGCTTGCAGACAGGTACCATGGGATATGTAGTCCTTAGAAATTAAAAGTCAATAGCAAAGGAGAATCTGCAAAGCATACAGGGAGTCCAGGAAGTTGTGGAAAGATATTGGCAGCAGGCAGGTAGAACTCACAACATGAAAGGAGATTTTTAAGTAAGCTCTTACTGGATTCTCAAAATAAACACTCGTTTGCATTGCTATTATACAGTACTGATGTTATAAAACAAAAGTGTATGCTATGACCACAGGATTTATCTTAAATGTTATGTATTTACATATTGGCAATAAGCCAAGCAGATCATGAAGGTTGCAGTATTACAAAACATGCAACTATTCATGAGGTTTGAATACTTATTCAAAGCATTGGAAATAACGAACTGCACATTTACTATTGTTTTGACTTTATGTTAATTGGCAGGCTGAAGTCAAAACTTTAGAAAAACAGAAAGCAAAACGATCTGCATCTCAACCTAAGACTACTGCACAGCCAGTAAGACCAGCAGCTATTTTTTCAAAAGGGAAGAGCCTTGTGACAAGCAAGGTGACCACTGTTCCTCAGGCACTGGCAGAGAGCTCCGAAAGTACCGAGTCCTCTGATAATGAAGACCTTTCCCCAGCCCAGGTACTCATTAGTTTGTTCATACTGAAATGTAACTAAATCTAGAACATGGAACGCACATGTTAAAGCATAGCATACATGATAAAGTTTCATTTAATACCAGCCTTCAGAACTGCCTTTACTTACATTCCCTTCCCTCCCCTGTCATGCTGTTTTTCCCAGAAAGAAAAGTGACATGTCAAGCACTTTACCTTTCATTCACTGTGACAAAACTGATGGTAGCTCAGTCACCCTGTAATTTAAACTGGGCAGGTAGAAAGAGTCCTCAGTCCTGCATAAACTCCATTTTATGACTATGACCTTCAGCCAATACAGGGGCATCTTTTTTTTTTTTTTTTTTTTTTTTTTTTCTCCCTGCACCTGAGTGGTGGTGTAGAAAAATATTAGGTAAAACGATACAGAAGACCAAATGAGAATGACCCTGTTGCTTTGCCTTGCATGTAATTCAGTTTTGGTCAGACATAATGCTCCTTCCTGGCTTGCTACGACAGTCTTGATACAGCTTGCTTACTTTCAACTACAGTAGTCAGTCACTATGCAGGTTGCCCAGTCCTTGCTTTTTACATGCACTGAGCACATTTTATTAATGAGGGCATGATGATTATTTCCAGGATGGATAGATCTTTTAGACTCCTGTGATATCTTGTCAGTTGCAGACTTTATTTTCAACAACCATGTCAAAGCTTTGTTTGTTCCTCCTGTGTATACCTGCGATTTTTTTTTTTTTTTTTTTTTTTTTTTTTTTTTTTTTTTGCTGTGCCACAGAAGAAAACCTTTCTTTGTGTTTTTATATCATAATCTGATTTTATTACAGGTAACTAGAACATCAGTGATGGTCGCTCCACCTGCAGCCAAATCCACAGCACAACCAGCTGCTGTGGCCAAACATAAGGCAGGTGGTCCTACCAAAAATCAGTCCCAGGGACAAAGTTGGCAGTAGTAGATCAGGGAATGTCTGATAGCAGTGAATCATCAGATAGTGAGGAAGAGCAGTCCGGTGTACAGGTACGATACACAAGAAAACAGGGATTATGATTAACCATTACCAAGTGTCATTGATGGGAATTTAAAGTTTAGTAATGGATTTCTTTCAGAAACTTGAGTTGTCAGTTGAGGCAAAACAGAAAAAGATCCCAATGTCTGCTCCCTTATTGACTTCCACTCCATATGAATCCACTGCATCTAAGGGAAAAAGTGCTTTGCCAATGAGCACTCCTCCAGTAGCAAAAGAGGTAGCTGCAGACATCTCAGAGAGAGTAGCGATACTGAGAGTGATGAAGAGGAGATGACACAGGTACTTTGTGAAATTGCTTTGGGCTTATGTTATCTTAAATTAAATATTTTTGTTTAAAAATAATTCAACATGAGATTTGGTTTTATAATGGCAGGTTATGACTTTGACCCCAAGCTTTGTGAAGTCAAAGAGTGGAAATATTACAGACAAGTTGGCTAAAACCTCGACATCTTCAATTGCTTCAAAAGCAAAGTCCACAACACCAATCAAAGTTCCCTCCACACTGAAGAAGGTTCCCGCAGAAAGCTCAAGCGACTCTTCTGACAGTGAATCTTCAGAAGAGAGGGCTGTGAAGGTACTTTTTTTTTTTTGTCTAACAGTTAACAGTCATATATATCACTTAGATGACCTATAGGTTCATTATTATAATGGTAATAGCTTAGCAATACCAAAATAAGCCCACTATAGCAAGGGTATTAGTTGACAGACAATATAACCTTGTGAAGCAATGTAAGGAAGGTAGGTTCTTAATAGCATAAAGATCTTTGTAGTAATACAAGGTCATCCCCAGTAGTGTCATTGAACAGTGATGACGTCCATCCAAGCACATCAACAACCTGATAAAGCTAACATATTTGCAAAGCATAGGCAACTCAAACTGATACTATGCTAAATATAAGAGCACAGCCTTGGCGTGCGACAGTTCACATAATGGGTGTCTATCTACCTCATTGCTAAAGATCATGCAAAGTAAATAATGCATCAGTATTAACATTGAAAAAGTTGTTTTCTAGAGGTAAAGGTGCTAGACCCAGGACAGACGTAGGAGAATACAAGGAAATCCATTATAAATGTTATGGGCAAATAATAAGTCCAAAGACCGATACACTTACCTCATTAGGAAATGCCACCTCCTTCAAGTTGCCCAAAATACAAACTAGTGAGTCTAACCAATCTGCATTTGAAAAACCCTAATAGTGTCCACTAATTCTTGCCAATAATTAATTTCGAGCACTTCCAGAGTTGTGTATGAGGTTTGGTGGGGCACCTGGGAGCAATCTTTGTTGTATCTGCGCTGCCACTATAAAGCTTCTGCGGCGTCTGATACACCCCATGTATAATAAACAATTGGGATCATCACTGATTAGGGGAAATTAAATTCATCTGTTCTATACTGCCAATCTTCCCCTGTTAGTGTGCCTTGATCATCATCCCACCCCCCCCTCCTGCTGAGAAGGTACTTATATAGAAGGTCCAGGCTCCCCCCAAAAAAACTGAGGATACTTACATGTCCAGGGGTTCCGCATCTATATTGTATTTGCAGCGCTAAAAATAATAATATATCAGATATGAATAGCAGTATAAAGTGACAAGTGAAAAAGCGCAAACAGAGAGCGCAACAAAGTGACAATAGTGGGTCGTCCTATATGGAAGAAAATCAGTGACATAAACACACAATATAGACGTATAACAGTCCACAAATTGTTTTTCCTTTAAATACGTGCTTATATCATCCAGTGTATGGGGGTTTTGGTCGCTTCTCACAAGATTCAAATAAATAAGGTGCTCGTGACTTCTTGTGGATAAGAGAAATGAGGTGTGCTTACACTCACACAGTCAAAATGTGCAATGTAAATGGTATTCAGGAGGGCGCTAGTGGTCATCTAGGAACCGATGGGGATAAGGCACTTCTCAGGTACTCGTTACACCCTGGGAACGGACTCCAGACCTCTCTGTGGGACCCTCACAGCAAAATAGGGCAGCTCCTTGGTGTTGGCTCCACCCAGCTTTACAGCAACTTGGCAACGCTGGATATCCACCTTAAAGCAGCTCCAGGAATAAGCCACCAGAGAAAAGCAGTCCTTAGATGTGGTTGGTTGCATTAGTTTTCTTTCTTTCAGGCAGGCAACATTTTCAGCAAGTGGAGAAAATACCAATTGATCCTGCCCAACATTACGTGTCCTTATAACTTCCTGAACTCCAATGTATCATAGATACAGCAAGGATCCATCTCCTGATGGAACGGTCAGCGCAGCACATACCACGTTCTCCATGTACACAGACCCTTACTGAGCGAGTGACAGCCCTGTGGGTGTACCAACCCCACCTCCAAACCAGTCACAGCCAAGTCACGAGCTTGCGGCTTCACAGGCGCGCTGTGCATTCCGCTTGGTCCGGCAGTCTTTTGGGACCCGTGAAGGCTCCTAGAGACAGCGGGAGGAAAGAGGTGGGCCGAATTTCCGTCTCACTTCGCCGCAGCAAACTGAGCCGGACGTTGGAGGTGGGTACCTGTCAAAACTAGGTATCCGCTCCCCCCCCCCCCAATATTGCCAGATATTGCGGAGGGGGGGGGGGGGGGGGGGGAGGCTAACAAGCGGGGTTTCCACTTTAGTTAGTGTGTGGAGTGTCCTGGATTTGACCCCCTTGCTCTCCAAGCTCTCCATTTCGGCAGTGGTGCTTTGACATGTGCTGTGGCTCAAATACTGGTTGGTGGACCAAACCTCAAAGGCTTTAACAGATTTGTCTTTTCAGGGTGATTGCCTCTTAGGGGCTGCCCTGGATGTTCACAGAGGCTACAGCAGGATTCCATTGGCTCCTGCTGCTATCAGTTCCTGTGAGCTGAAAGCGGGGGGCGTGGCTGAGCCATGCTGTGTGTCAATAGATGCACACAGCCTGCTCGGGATTGAGCCTCCAGGTGTGCCACCATAGCAAGTGGCTTTATACGGTGGTACTCAGTAGAGGAGCCAAGAGTATGAACATTGTGAAGGATTTTTTTTCCTTAAAATAATATCACTTAAAGATGTTAAAAATGTGGGGATATTGTCTATTATATATAGCAACATGCTAAGTCAGCATAGGCCACCTGGATTTAGTCTACATAAAGATTTCTGGAAGTCCTCTTTAAGTTTCAGGTTTAATTTAAGGTTCGTTATAAATTGTGCTAATGATTATTACATTTGAATAGGTTAATACACCAGTACCAACTGCAGTGAAAGCAGCTCAAGCAAAAGTCACTGGAAAGCTGAAGACCCTCAATGTGACAAGTCCAGTGCCTGGTACAACAAAGTCTGGTAGCCTACAAAAGTCGACAGTAGATACTGACACCTTGAGTGAGTCTTCAAATGAAGAGTCACAGATAGTCAAGGTACACATAGAATATCATCATGTATTTCTTGTTTGAGAGTGTGAGAGATGCTTTCCACCTTCCTTTACTATCATGAGATGGTTCCTTGATGTTGAATTTTTAACTTTAGCATAGAAATGATGTTGGAGCAATACTCCCGTAGCTTGTTTTCAGATAGGCTATTGCAGGTGACAATGCCAGGAATAGTAGGGGAGATCTTGCCACTGGCATCCACAGGTGATATCAGCAGTCAGGGAGTGTTTCAACAGACAATGAACTTCACCTTGGAATAGTGTATTCAACAGCACATTCAGAAGGAAAGGAATAGTCTTTATCAATCTATGCTTTACTTTCAAAATAATTTTTAAGCCTTGTTCATGACAAGGCATCCAGTTTGAGCACATGGACCTGTTGATGCCAGCAGGGGGGAAAAAGTGGTAGTGCAGTGTATGGAAGATCAGTTCTTGTATCCTATATGCTATACTTTCAACAGGCACTGGCTGCTCATCTGCAGCTTTTGTTTGTCGGATCTTTGTTGACCAGATTGATAACAATCAGATTAAATCATTGCAAGTAAACTTCAATATAAAATTGTTTAATGTAAGTGTAAAGGTAAGATTTTGTTTTAATGAAAACTGTCGTTAAATCACATAAGTGGGTTGAAAAAAAAAAAAACAATTAAATTGAACCTAAGGACAAAACCAAATTAAAGCACTTTGTGTCTTCAGGATCCAAATCCTGCTGTCTATCCAGAGGAGAGCAAAAAACACTTTAGGCATGCTCCTTCTTGCTCCAGCAAGGAAGAAAGATCCCGGTCCTCTAAAGCAATTGACTATTATAATATCAAACAACAGCTCTAAGGTATACAATCTAGGAGTAATTCAGTACATTCATCCATCTGAAAGTGGGTGACCAATTTTGAGTGGTTTTTCTGTTTAAAAATGAATTGCATTATTTTACATGGGTACATTGGTCTAGCTTGGAGCAATGTAACTATGTATATTCCATACCTGGCCGATACCTCTGAAACCTGGAAATCCTCAGAGTAGGTACTGCTATTCCAGTGATTTCCACTTGTTTCTGGGTCCCGTACTGAGCAGCTGGTAAGCATTCTGAACACAGGTTTGCTGCCCAGCACGGCAGCCTTTCAGACAACTCTTTGAATGCAAAGCCAGTGTAACTAATGTAACTATGTACAGCGATCCCTCGTTTTTCGCAGTTAATGGGGACCAGAACCTTCCGTGAAAGCTGAAAAACCGCGAAGTAGTATTTGCCCCCAGGAATTTTTGTGTATGCGGGTACTGTACGAGAATGTTTTAAATATGTAAACAGTATTCATACTTTACTCATTTAAGACAAAAATTACAACAGTACTGTATACATATTTACTTAAACGTGTCAGTGCTAATTACAATAGGGTTAATTACAAAACCTTATACAGTAATAAACATTAATCAACATTGCTTTCTGAGAGGGGCGAAGAGTCTTGTGTTGGTGGCGGAGGAGAGGCTCTCACTTGACTCGGAGACTCTTCTGCTGGAGGCGCTGACGGTAGAGCCGGGGGCTTTACCTTGGAGACAAACATGGTGATGGGTAGTTGTTGTCTTTTTTTTTTTTTTTTCCTTCAAAATTCCCCTGTACAAGGACATAACCCCGTCAACGCGATTGCTGAACTCGACAGCTCGAACCATATTGTCGTCAATGTCTTGTGCAAATTGTTGCATCGCTCTTGCCATGTTGCACAATTGTTGCAGATTCTCCAGGGTAAGGCCACGCTTTTCAGTTTCTTCTTCGTCTTCCTCTGTTTTCTTCCTCACTTGCAGACTTTGTCATCTCAAGGAGGTCTTCATCGCTCAGTGGGTCCGAGTGGCAATCGATAAGGGCGCTGAAACAACGCTCCTTTCCACAATGTGGCTGCTGACCCGCGAAGTACTGAAGCCGCAAAACATGAAGCGCGAAGTGGCGAAGGGAACACTGTATACCATGATTTCTCATTTAATTATGTTACTGCTACAGCTGTAACATTTTGATAAGCTTGTGGTAACCAGTACTAATATGGTTAATCTGCCCATTGGGGAAACAGACATTTATTCCTGACAGGGGATTCAGTACTTGATTATTCTTTTCAAACAAAATTTCAGGGTTTTTTTTCCAGCCTAAAGGGATTTCCATTTGTCTACATGGAACAAACCTGGTAGGACAAGCTCACTTTAAAAGTAAGAAAATATTTTCACTGAGCTGTACAACTGTAAAGCACACAAAAATGACCACTGCATTGTAGAATTATAATTCTCTACTTCTCTGACTGTCTTGGATACTCTGCTGTTTGTTACAGTTCTGTGCATGTAAGATTTATAACGGTCTGTATAGCACAGATAGCAAATTGCACAGTAACTGGCTGTAACTCTCCCGGTTAGATTCTTGTTGTATGCAATAGTAGCAAAGTGTTTTGTATTTGATTTCTTTCGGTTATTAAAGTTTTGGAAATGTATTTCTTTTTGTGTTCTTTGTGGGATAGACAACTCCAACTGCTGTAAAGATGAAACAAAGAAACCAGGCTGACAAGGTGGTTAAGACTCCACTAGCTCCTAAATCTCTACCAGGCAAGTCTAATGGTACCAGCGTGGCTAAAACACCCTTGCAAGCAATTGAGCAAAGTTCCAGCGAGGCTTCAGACAGTGAGGAGGATACAGCTGAAAAGGTACTATACACCCTGGAGTGTTTTGGTTTTTTTTTTTTTTTTTAACTTTAATATATAATGTTTTAACTACCTTTTAGGTTCAGTTTTACAGAATATTAACCGGTTCCTGCCCGGCCTATGGCCGAATGGCGGCCGGCAAAAACACACTCTTCCCTCCGGGTGGACTCCATATGGCGTCCTTTCAGGCATATGTATGTTTTCATGCCAGCAAAGCCGCGTAGCTGCGCGATCTGTCACCGGCCGTGTACCTCGGACACGGCCGATGACAGATCTGTGTACCGGCCCTGTTGCCAGTGCCATGTGACCTGCTGTGACCAATCACAGCAGGTCACATGACAGTTGTATACAATGGGTGGCTTCCTATCATGCCATCCATTGTATACAAGTGTGGCTAGCTGTGAATGGTCACAGCGATCCTATGCACAAGCTGGGCCAATCACACAATCGATCTCATTCAGGTAAATGCTTGCTTATAGCAAAGTAAAGTAATTCTTTGCTATAAGCAAATTGTGTAAAAAAAAAAAAAAAAAAGTATGTATGTATGTGTGTAACATTATACTACTTTGGTCATAGTGAAATATGAAAAAAAGAGAAAAACATTTAATAAAAATAAAAAAAAATTATCAATTTTTTTTTTTTCGTATTGTCACCAGTGTCCTTGATCACCGCCGTGCCACTTATATGATGACACTGTACTGCACTGGTAACAGTATGTAAAAAAAAATTGTGAAAATCTTTTTTTTTTTTTTTTATTTCATTTCCGAAAAATGACAAAAAAATTACAACTTTAAAAAACTCGCCATGCCTCTTATGAAGTACGTCGGACTGTCTACTTTGCAAAAAGGGGTCATTTGGGGGATATCTGTACTGTTCTGACATTCTTGGACCTCAAGAAATTAGATTGGCTGTCAGTACTTCAGGATTGATCAATATTCAGATATATACCATAGTTTGTGAACTCTATAACTTTCCTACAGACTAAATAATAAATACTAATTTGGGTTATTTTCACCAAAGACATGTAGTAGAATACATTTTGGCCTAAATTTATGAAGAACAATTATTTGCAAACATTTATAACAGAAACAAAGAAAAACATGATTTTTTTTTTTTTTTTTTTTTTTTTTTCAGCCTTTTTTTTGTTAATTTAGCAAAAAATAAAAACCCCAGCGGTGATTAAATACCACCAAAAGAAAGCTCTAGTTGTGTGAAGAAAATGATAACATTTTAGTTTGGGTACAATGTTGTATGACCACGCAATTGTCATTCAAAGTGTGAGAGCGCTGAAATCTGAAAAATGGCCTGGGCAGGAATGGGGTAAAAGTGCCCGGTATGGAATTGGTTAAACAAGTGTAGTTACCCATAGCAACCTGACTGTATGTGGTGCTAATCTGACTTTAGCAAAGTGAACTATAGCTTTTCAGAATTTCATCGGTCCACATTGGTATATTGGTACTTTATTAAGCTGCTTAGGCCCTGCACTGCACTGTGGAATGTCATTGGGACATTCTTCAACTTCAGATATTTTTGAAAGCTAGTATAGCCTGTCTGTAGGCCTGCAATTTTTTGAAAAATGGACCGTGCAGATAAGCGCCTGCTGGCATGTAGTCTTCAATTCAAGGTTAGCCTGCTTAAAATAGACTGGTTTGATTTACATTTTGACTGGATGATTTCAAAGTGAAACTCAAGTTCTGAGGAAAAAAAATAATTTATGAAAGGATTATTTACATTTTGATGAAAGAATACCTAAAGAAAACTTTTATTTATGGAGCAATTAAATGTTAAAAACTAAAGGCCCCCCAAAGGCAGCAGAACAATCCGTGAAGACTCCAATAACAACTACATAAGTGAAGGTAAAAGCCACAAGTCTGAACAGAAGGCCAGTGGTTGGAAAGCCGGCAACTGCCGACCCTTCAAGCAGCTCTTCAGAGATTGACGAGAAGCCTTCCGTAAAGTGCTTTGTTTATTTGGACATGGGTTTTAGCTTTAGTTTATAGCTTCTTGAAGGCTGGCCATACATTATACAATTTTCTTGTACAGTTTTCCTTTTAGATTTACCAAAATCATAAAATATGAGGTCAAACCTAAACACTTTCAATTTGTATGCAACTTGTGTCAGGCAAGCCCTGACACAACATAGTTGAAGGTAAATCTAAAGGAAATTGAATAAATAAATTGTATAATGTATGGCCAGCTTTAGTGCAGTTTATGTTCATTTCCATCCTATTGACAGCTGTTCTTTCTTCAGATTAATAATTTTAAACCGACTGGCTACCAAGGGTGTTGTACAGTTTTTAACCGTTTCCATACCGGGCACTTTTACCCCCTTCCTGCCCAGGCCATTTTTCAGCGCTCTCACACTTTGAATGACAATTGCGCAGTCATACAACATTGTACCCAAACTAAAATGTTATCATTTTCTTCACACAACTAGAGCTTTCTTTTGGTGGTATTTAATCACCACCGGGGTTTTTATTTTTTGCTAAATTAACAAAAAAAGGCCGAAAATTTTGAAAAAAAAAAACATGTTTTTCTTTGTTTCTGTTATAAATGTTTGCAAATAATTGTTCTTCATAAATTTAGGCCAAAATGTATTCTACTACATGTCTTTGGTGAAAATAACACAAATTAGGATGTATTTTTTAGTTTGTAGGAAAGTTTTATAGAGTTCACAAACTATGGCATAAATCTGAATATTGATCAATCCTGAAGTACTGACAGCCAATCTAATTTCTTGAGGTCCAAGAATGTCAGAACGGTACAGATATCCCACAAATGACCCCGTTTTGCAAAGTAGACAGTCCGACATACTTCATAAGAGGCATGGCAAGTTTTTTGAAGTTGTATTGTGTTTGTCATTTTTCGAAAAATTTAAAAAAATAATTTTCACTATTTTTTTTTTTTTACATACTGTCACCAGTGCAGTACAGTGTCATCATATAACTGGCCTGGCGGTGATCAGGGACACTGACTGGTGGCAGTATGAAAAAAAAAATATATATAATTTTTTTTATTTTTTATTACATTTTTTTCTTTTTTTTTACGATTTTTTTTTTTATTCATATTTCACTATGACCAAAGTAGTACAATGTTACCATAGTAACATTGTACTACTTTGTGGAAGTAATCAGTATTTTTTTTTTTTACTCAATTTGCTTAAAGCAAAGAATTACTTTGCTATAAGCAAGCATTTACCTGAATGACATCGATTCATTCAGGGTTTTTTTTTTTATTTATTTTTTTTGTGCTTAGCTGTGATTTGGCCACAGCTAATCACATGACACAGCTGAGCTGTGATTAGCCCAGCTTGTGCATGTGATCGCTGTGACCAATCACAGCTACACACACTAGTATACAATGGATGGCATGAATGAAGCCATCCATTGTATACAACTGTCATGTGACCTGCTGTGATTGGTCACATACACGGCCGGTGACAGATTGCGCCGCTGCGCGGCTCTGTAGGCGCGCAAAGTGCGCATGCCCGGGAGTACGCCATATGGCGTCCACCCGGAACGCTAAGGGATTTTGCAGGCCGCCATTCGGCCATAGGCCGGGTGGCTAATGGTTAAATAAAAGTGAAATCTCTCAAATTGAAGATGGCAACAGTGCCATTCTGTTCTTGGCTTTGTGAACTCTTGTTACTTTTTGAACTGTAGTTGGTGTTACTTCACCTTTTCGCAAAAGAATGGAAAGTTGAACTAACCCACTACACCCTCCCTTTTTTTTTTTTTTTTTTGGCAGAATATACCATTCATCTCCTCATATGGCTTTGTCACTCTGGTGCTGCCGAGGTCAGGTGCTGCGTTTCCAGGCCCCAGCAATGCACCTGCTGTTAGTGTAAGAGCTTTTTCTCCCGCTCCATGCATTTTTTTTTTTTTTTTTTTTTTTTTTTTGTAATCTGAGAATGCAGCTGTAGAAGCTTGTCATTTTGCTTGACTTCTTATTTGTATGGTAGAAACCAGAAGTTCACCAGTTGGTAATTTTAGCTTGTTGCCATATACCTAAATGTGAAATGGCAGGCATTAATATTAGTATTTACTAAGAAAAAAAGCAGTGGTTGTGGTGGAAATATATATCAAAGCATGACTTAAAGGAAATGTCTTGAGAGAAATGCTTAGATTGTCATTGGTGACCTTTTTTTATATTAGTTGTCTGTATGTTAAACTGATCCTGATGTATGCAGCAAGTGAAGCAGGAGCTCCTGATCTCCATATTTGTTCTCAGCCCGTGATTTGCTAAATATTGGAGGTAGAGAATCTCACTGCAAAATAACTAGCTGTTGAATGGTCTTTAACCACCTCCCGCCGGCCATATAGTCCAATGACAGACGCAAGGCAGTTCTCTCGTTCTGGGAGGATGTCATATAACGACTTCCCATTCTCAGCGCGCATGCGTGGCTCCGGGAGCGCGCGGCGATCGGCGGTGCGCTGTGTCCCCGTGGATCACCGATCCACGGAAAGAGCCGAGGATGTCGGCTCGGTCATGTGATCAGCTGTGTCCAATCACAGCTGATCGCATGTAAATAGGGAATTGCTGGTTACGCATTTCTCTCCTCACGGGCTGTCACGTTGACAGCTCGTGAGGAGAGGAGAGCCGGTAATCGGCATTCCTCGGAGGGGACATGTGCACTGATCATCAGGACACTGATGATCAATGTGCCCTGATGATCAGTGTAGCCCCAGCAGTGCCACCTGCCAGTGTCCATTAGTGCCAGCTCTCAGTGCTCATCCATGCCACCTGCCACTGCCACATCAATTCCACATATCAGTGCCTACCAGTGCACATCAGTACCCATCAGTGCCACCTAACAGTGCCCATCAATGATGCCTGTCAATGCCCATCAGTGCCATCTATCAGTGCCCATCACTGCAGCCTCTTTAGCGCACATCAGTGAAGGAGAAAAATCACTTATTTACAAAATTTTATAACAAAAACTAAGAAAAAACGTTTTGGTTTTTTTTTCAAAATTTTCTGTGGTTTTTGGTTTGTTTAAAAAAAATAAACCCAGAGGTGATTAAATACCACCAAAATAAAGCTCTATCTGTCACAAAAAAAATGATAATTTCATATGGGTACAGTGTTGCATGACTGCGCAATTGTCATTCAAAGTGTGACAACGCAGAAAGCTGGAAATTGGCCTGGGCAGGAAGGGGGTATAAGTGCCCTGTAGACTAGTGGTTAATAGTAACTTGACATATTTCACAAGAAAGATGCATTTTAATATCAAATTCTAGCATGGATGGCAGAGACATGTGATTGCACTACAACCTGAAAACTGCAAGTTCTTGAGTTTATTCCTTCAGTCATAGGTCTGTGCTTTTTTTTTCCCGTCTAGCCTAGTGCAGCTACTCCAAAACATGCAGCACAGCCTAGTGTTGGGAAGACTACAACACAGATTCCTCCACTACAGAAGAAGCAAGAGAGCAGTTCAGAAGAAGAGAGTGACTCTGAGGAAGAGGAGCCTGTGAAAAAGGTTAGCAAAAATGGGTACATTGCTCCCATAGATTTTTAAATAAGACTGTTCATAAACAAATTGATGTTTCAGGATGAATAACCGACCATTTGTTACATCTCTTGAGTGCCAGTAAGGTCTCTCCACTGCATAGTCTCTCTTCATGACACTCCTCAGCTGTTCAAGTCAAGCAATGGGCATTTAGTTCCTTTTGTTACTGTGTTCTTTATAATGCAAAATATACAGAGATGTAAAGCGGACTTCCAGGCAAAAAGCTTCATAAACAGATAAAATACATGAGAGCTGTTTTAACTGCCAAAGTATTTGTATTTTTTATTTTCACAGTTGAGTAGTGTGGTTGCTACTCAGCTCTGCCAACATAGTACTCTGAATTGTGAAGGCAAGAGGCAGCATTTTCACTGAGGAGGAAAACGGTGTTTCTTTACTGAACATCAAAGGGATATCTTCATATCCTTTATAACAGGGTTATGTTGCCACTTTTCGGTGATTGAACACTGGCAATAAAACAAGACAGGAAGTCTCCTCCAAAGCATAGTATCTCCCTGTTGCCTCCCAATTATGGGAATACCGCATGTGTGAGACTTTTACAGCCTAGATGCATAGAGGGGCCCAGCATCCAATGAGCAACTTTGTACTTTCAAGGAACATAAATTACACATCTAATTTCCTTACTACCTATCACATTTTTGGAGGCACCGGAGCACCAGGACAGTTGGAACCCCCCACAAAGTGACCACATTTTGTTAAGCAAATGCTTCACTGTATTTTCTGAAAACCTTACTGAATGTTTTGAAAATGCAGGAAAGAGGAACATGACCTTTAAAAGCACTAGAGACAAGGAAGATTGGATACAAATCTGGACCATGATAGCCTCATCCACTCGAATCGGCCTTTAAATGTGTCTCTAGATAACTGGTCCCCACCTGTTTAGAACATATTTGCCCTAGCTCCTCCAACAACAGTTTTCAAGGCTGCTCGCTCCCAAGGGACATACTTCACACATGGTGGTCGTGTTCCATGCTTTGTAGATTTTGGTTGAAAGTCCTAAAGCTGTTGCAAACGTTGCTAGACCACCTGTTTTCCCAGAGACCTATGGTATGTCCTATTGCATCTGACACCCTCATACCTTATGAGATGCCAATTTAAACTGGCTACATATATTCTACTAGCAGCAACACAAATTTTAGCAAAAGCTTGGAACCAGTCAAGTCCATTGTGGTCTAGCTACCCTCCCTCCCTCCCCTCCCTCCCCTCCCTCCCCTCCCTCCCCCCTCCCTCCCCTCCCTCCCCTCCCCCCCCTCCCTCCCCTCCCTCCCTCTCCCCCTCCCCTCCCCTCCCTCCCCTCCCTCCCCCTCCCTCCCCTCCCCTCCCTCCCCCCCTCCCCCCCCTCCCTCCCCCTCCCCTCCCTCTCCCCCTCCCTCCCCTCCCTCCTCCTCCCTCCCTCCCTCCTCTCCCTCCCCTCCCCCCCCCCCCTCCCCCCCCTCCCCTCCCTCCCCTCCCCTCCCCTCCCTCCCCTCCCTCCCCTCCCTCCCTCCCTCCCCTCCCTCCCTCCCTTCCTTCCTTCCTCCCTTTCCTTCCTCCCTCCTCCCTTCCTCCTCCCTCCCTTCCTCCTCCCTCCCTTCCTCCTCCCTTCCTCCTCCCTCCCTCCCCCTCCCCTCCTCCCTTCCTTCCTTCCTTCCTCCCTTAGGGGGGGGGCTGGGGCTAGTTTTAAAGAGCAGTTGGGTTTATCCCAGATTTCCACTTCAATTGTGGCATTTTCTAAGAGAAGAAAAGCAGTGGCTGTGAAGAAAATATACATTGAAGCATGACTTAAAGGAAACTTGTCTTGGGAGAAATTCTAGGGTGTCATTGGTGGCCTTCTTTTGAAATATTAGCTGTCTGCCTGTTAAACTGATCCTCTTGCTTACGTACTTCTGAGTCACCTTAATGTGTACGCAGCAAGGGATGTAGGAACTCCTGACCTCCATATTTGCGGTCAGTAACTTACGAAACATTGGAGGTAGAGGATCCAAATGACTGGCAACTAGCTTTTGTATGGTCACTAAATAGAAACTTTACAAGTAATTTTACAAGAAAGATGTATTTTAATACTGATTCTAGCATGGATGGCTGAGACATGTGATTGCAAGTTCTTAAGTTTATTCTTTTAGTCATAGGTCTGTTTTTTTCCTCTAGCATACTGTAGCTACTCCAAAACCTGCAGCACAGCCTAGTGTTAGGAAGACTACAACACAGAGTCCTGCAGTGCTACAGAAGAAGCAAGAGAGCAGTTCAGAAGAGAGTGACTCTGATGAAGAGGAACCTGTGAAAAAGGTAAGGAAAAGGAGTAAAATGCCCTTTTTTAGCTTTTTTTTTGTGACAACCCATTAAAAATAACTGATGTTTGACAATGAATAACCAAGGATGAGCACGCCGGCAAGGTCTCCCCACTTATGACACGCTGCAGCTATCAAGTCAAGCAATGGGGAGTAATGCAGGCCATAGATGGGTTGGAAATTTGGCCGATTTTTCTTTTAAAAAACGAAAAATCGGTCGTTTCAAGCGGCCAACGTTACCAGCATGATGGGACTTCTTCCTCCTCTTCTTCCTCCTCCTCTTCTTCCTCCTCCTCCTCCTCTTCTTCCTCCTCCTCTTCTTCTTTTTGTCTTCCTCTTGCAGGTCACTGCTAATGCGAAGATTTTTTTCATCGGTAAAAAAATCGGCCGATTTGCCCATTACTGCCGCGAAAATCGGCCGATTTTTTTCCAACTTTACCGATAAAAAAAATCGGCCAAAATACCGAAAAACGGCCGAACAAATAGGCCACTAACAATCCGAAAATCGGCCGATTTTATTTTCGGCCGAAAAATCGTCCGATTTTCGACCCATCTATGGCCTGCATAAGTTCTTCTTGCTGCTGTGTTCTTTATAATATTAAACTATACAGAGCCATAAAGCTCAACAGGCAAAATGCTAAATACACATATAAAATATATGTGTGTGTGTGTATGTGTGTGTGTGTGTGTGTGTATGTGTGTGTGTATGTATGTATGTATATATATATGTATATATATATATATATATATATATATATATATATATATATATATATATATATATATATATATATATATATATATATATATATAAGAGCTTATATAATAAGAGAGCTGTTTCACCTTCAAGGTATATAGTCACACTACACCGCCTCATCTGGCAGGGAAAGCTGTTTTTACTCTGCCTGTGACTGGATGGTAAAATAACCAACCTAGTCAGACAAACCACAGCACAGGTCTATCCACAGCACCACAGCACAATTATGTGGGAGGACAGTTGTGAAGAGGGGTTTGGCTGCCAGCATGGTACTTTGATCTATGAGGGCATGAGGCAGCATCTTCACTGTGGAGAAAAATTGTGTTCTCTAGTTTTGGATGAACAAACACTGGCAATATAACAAGTCAGGAAGTCTCCTCCCAGGAAAAAAAAACCTAGTGTCTTATTTTGGTGTGAGTGATTTCATCCTTGCAAGTATGTCACGAGTTGCATCCTGGCTTTTTTTCCAATCTGAGTTGATCTGGGACTGGCTTTGAGTAGATTTGGCCCTGACTGTCTTTTTCACATTCCTTTGTGCAAGTTGTCACACGTATTGTTCCACCGGTCAAGACTGTGGGACATCGACTTGGTATTTCTGCATTCCAGAACTCTCTATTTGAACTCATCCAGGAATATACCCTTATTTTTTTGACTCAAAAGGTTATTTTTTTGGTTGCCATTACTTTGGCTCACAGAGTTCCAGAAATGGCTGCTCTTTTCTGTAAGAAATTGTTTCTGGTGCTCCACCATGATAAGATGGTTCTATGGCCTCAGCTGTCATTTTTGCTTAAGGGGGTTTCTTCCTTCCATCTCAACCAGGACATTGTGTTGCTGTCTTTCTGTCCTAAGCTGCAGATGCCGGGGGACAGGTTTTTAAATAAAACTGAAATTTTTAATTTTGGCGCATCAATAGCTTCCCACAGTCAAGTTGTAATTGGCAGCAGGACAATTCTGCTGTTGCCTATGTTATTTGCAGAACTGTAGTTAAAGTGTGAGTTCACCATTTTACAAAAAATGAAAAGGTCAATTAACTAAAACCCCACACACTCCCCGTTTTTCATATACCACCCATCATCTCCTCAGGAAATGCAGCTGTAGAAAATTGTCACGCTTCCTATTTGTATGGTAGAACCCAGAACTTTAAGTTTCTTAAAGTGGAATTTTGGACAACCATAACTACTCTTAAAACTATCCACTCCCTTCTAACACCTATGCTTACCGACCTATGAAAGAAAGATGTGTATGTACAGTGGGGAAAATAATTATTTGATCCCCTGTAGATTTTGTAAGTTTGGCCACTTACAAAGAAATTAAGGGTCTATAATTTTTATCATAGGTGTATTTTAAATAATAAATACAGAATATCGACCAAAAGTCAAGAAAAAAACACATCATACAAATGTTATAAATTGAGTTACAGTTCAGTGAGTAAAATAAGTATTTGATCCCCAAGCAAAACATGACTTAGTACTTGGTGAAGAAGCCCTTGTTGGCAAGCACAGAGGTAAGATGTTTCTTGTAGTTGGCTACCAGGTTTGCACACATCTTGGCAGGGATTTTGGTCCATCCTTATTTACAGTCTAAACACGTAAGGTTTCTTGGCAACTCGAAGTTTCAGCTCCCTCCATACATTTTCTAAAGGATTAAGGTCTGGAGACTGGCTAGGCTGCTCCTTGACCTTAATGTGCTTCTTCTTGAGCCTCTCCTTTGTTGCCTTGGTGGTATGTTTTGGGTCATTGTCATGCTGACCCATCTTCAGTGTTGTCATCCACGACCCATCTTCACTGAGGGAAGAAGGTTCTCATCCAAGACTTTAAAATACTTGGCTCCTCAATGCAGCAAAGTTGGTCTGTACCTTTAGCAGAGAAACAACCCCAAAGCATAATGTTTCCACCTCCATGCTTGACTGTAGGGATGGTGTTCTGGGGGTCATAGTCAACATTTTTCTTCCTCCAAACATGGCAAGTTGAGTTAATGTCAAAGTGCTCACCTCCCTTTAAAATCACAGTTTGTTGCTTTGCAGCCTGAAATGAAGACACAGTTTTTGTTTTATCCAGCTGTATTTACTCAGTGCAACTTATAACATCCAAGTGAAAGACATGACACCAACATGTCAGGAAAAAATTAAAAACAGAATTACTAAGTTGGAAAAAGGATCACCCCCTTGTGTCAGTATTTTGTTGAATCACCTTTTGCTTTAATTAGAGCCTTTAGCCTGTTGGGATATGTCTCTACTTACTTTGCACATCTAGACTTTGCAAGATTTACCCACTCTTCTTTGCAGAACTGCTCAAGTTCAGTTACATTTGTTGGTGACTGTTTGTGGACTGCAGTTTTCCAAGTTATTCCACAGATTTTCAATGGGGCTGTGACTAGGCCTTGCAAGGACATTCACTTTCTCCTTCAACCACTGTATGGTCATTTTTGCTGTGTGCTTTGAGTCATTGTCATGGTCAACCTTCCCATTGACAACTTTCTGGCAAAGGGCAGTAGAATTTCCTCAGGACTTTGGCGGTATTTTGCCCCATCCAATTTCCCTTCTATCTTGACATGTGCTCCAGTCCCTGCTGTATAGAAACACTCCCGTAACATGCTATTACCATGCTTTACTGTAGGAATGGTGTTATTTGGATGGTGAGCTATATTGGATTTCCGCCAGACATATCGTTTAGTGTTGAAGCCAAATAATTAAATTTTAGTCTCATCTGACCCTTTTTTCCATGTGGCCTCAGAAAGGTGCGTTTTGGCAAAGTTCAGTTATGACTGCATGTGGACTTTCTTAACCGCTTCCCAACCACACTTTAGCTGAAAGACGGCTACAGCACGGTTGTCCAGTTTTAGGAGGGTGTCCAGGATGTATTCCTAGAACGCGTCCCCAGCAGCATGCACTCGGCGCTGTCGGTGATAGCTGTGTCCTACAGCTGACCCCGTGATGAGGTAAAAGGCCAATCACAGCGGCCTTTTACCACGTGATCAGCTATGTCCACTGACACAGCAGATCACAATGTAAATACAGTTGCCGGTTATCGGCAGTACTTTCCTCACGCTGTCACATAACCGGCAAATATGACAGGGAAGATCTGCCCTGATCATCAGGGGACTGATTGTCAGTGCCGCCAGTCAGTGCTGCCTATCAGTGCTTCATATCGGTCCATCATCAGTGCAGCCTCATCAATGCACATCAGTGAACGAGAAAAATTACCTGTTTACAAAATTTTATAATAAAAACGAACTTTATTATTTTTTGCTCCTATTTTTGTTTATAGTGAAAAAAATAAAAACCCCAGTGGTGAGTAAATACCACCAAAAGAAAGCTCTATTTGTATGAAAAAGAAGATATAAATGATGCAATTGTTATTCAAAGTGCATCAGTGCTGAAAGCTGAAAATTTGGCCTGGGCAGGAAGGGGGGAAGAGTGCCTGGGTAGGCAAGTGGTTAAGGAGTGGCTTTTTTTTTTCTTGCAACCCTCCCATACAAGCCACGTTTGTGGAGCATTTGTGATATTGTCACACACAGTGACATCTTTGTCATAAATTCCTTCAGCTGCTTCAGAGTTGCTGTAGGCCTCTTGGTAACCTTTCTGATCAGTTTCCTCCTGGCTCTTTCATCCAGTTGGTAGCGACGTCCTGATCCAGGGAGGGTCTGTTTTGTACCAAATACCTTCCACTTCTTAATAATAGCCTTCACTGTGCTTCAAGGCATTGATAACGTCTTTGAAATTCTTTTGGATCTATCTCCTGACTTGTGCCTGTCCACAACTTTATCCTGGAGATCTTTTGACAGTGCCTTGCCACCCATTGTTGATTCTTTGCTTCAGTTGCACTACCAGGGATTAAAGTGCTCCAGGAAAGCTCTTTTCATGCTGAGCTAATCAAAATGACCACAGCTGATCAGATGAAAGTCAAATGGATTTGTGTGCCATTAAGAAGGTGCTTAGCTATACCTGATTGAGTTTAAAAGTCATTTTTAGGAGAGGGGTAATCTTTTTTTCCCAACTCCGTGATTATTTTTTGTTGCTTTTCAGGCTGCAAAGCAATAAAATGTCATTATTTTAAAGGTGGAGGGGGTGATTCTTTTCTATACTCTATACTATGTGTGTGTGTGTGTGTGTGTGTGTGTGGCTTGAGAGAGTACCTGTCTTGAGAGAAATACTTAGGGTATCATTTGTAACCTTCTTTTGAAAATTGCTTGTTATATTCATCTTCTTGCTCAGTATATATGCAGTGTATATATATATTGCTAAGTATATATGAAACCTCACCTTTTAAAACAATCCACACAGTTTAAATAGAAATGAAATGTAAAAAATGCATGTATAGATAATATAATGATCAATACCCTCTGTCCTCAGCTCCATAAGGAGCTCAGAAAGCTGGAGGAGGAGAAACAGCAGAACATTCGTCTTTCCAGAGAATGGCTGTGCAGGAAGGTGGGGGTGTGTGTCAGCCCGTGTTTGATCATTGGAGAAGAGCAGGATGAGTTCTCAGCACAGCTAGAGAACTGACCACACTGTGCTCTCATGCCGTGTGTGGTCAGTTTTTAATAGGAAAGCAGAGGGACTGGCAGGAACACTGGGGATTTCACACACAGGAAGCAATACAAAGGGAACAAGATTCTTTTTCATACAAGTACATGGTACAGCAGGCACATATCGGGAATATGAAATGTTGAGTTTACATACTCTTTAAGTACTTCTGAATCACCTGGACATGTATGTACCGGGGAAGCCGGAACTCCTGGTCTCCATTTTTGTTCTCAGTGACTTCAATGCAACCAACTTTTGAATGGTTACTAACAGAAACCTAGTATATTTCACCAGATATATTTTAACGCCAAATTCTAGCATGGATTTCTGAGACATGATTGCACTATAACCTGAGGACTGCAAGTTCTGCAAGTTTATTCCTTCAATCATAAGTCCTTTGTTTTTGTTTTTTTTCCCTCTAGCTTGCTGCAGCTACTCCAAAACCTGCAGCACAGCCTAGTGTTGGGAAAACTACAACACGGATTGCTGCAGTGCTACAGAAGAATCAAGAAAGCAGTTCAGAGGAGAGTGACTCTGATGAAGAAGAACCTGTGAAAAAGGTAAGGAAAAGGAGTAAAATGCCCTTTTTTAGCTTTTTTTTTTTTTTAAATAAGACATGTTTTTAACCTGTTGACACCTGCCCACTGTACATATACTGCAGGTGGGCGTCACGAGCAGGCTGCTCCTGTGACCGCTGTGTCCACTGTTACTGGTAATCGTGTATCATGTGAACGTTATAATTGGTCATAGCGATCACGATTTTATTGTAAGCAAAACGGTAATGAAAGATTTCCATTCATGACTGCTTTGCTTAGTGTTATGACGTTGAGATTGGCTTAGCTTCATACTGTCACCAGTCAGTATCCCTGATCACTGCCACACCAGTCATATGGTGACGGTGTATTGTACTGGTAACTGTTTGTAAAAAAAATAAAAAAAAATTGTATTCAATTTCTTCATTTTCCCAAAAATTGTGACAAAAATTACAACTTCAAAAAAACATTACTAATCTTACTATCTTACTAAATACCTCATACTGTCAACTTTCCAAAAATGGGCCATTTGGGGGGCATTTGTATTGTCTTGGCATTTTAGGGTCACAAGAAATGAGATTGACCAATCCTGATGTACTGATTGCCTATTTTCAACTATGTATACCATGCTATAACTTCCACACAGACTAAATAATTGGGATTTTCTTCCAATTTTTGTTAAAAAAAAAAAAAAATAATTGTTCTCTAGTCATCTTCCAGGAGAGAAGACTAGCTCCACCTGACAGGAAAACCAATAAAAAAGTGTTTAAATTCCCCGTCATTCCCTCCAGTTTTGGATTGCGTTTCCCTGGCAGTGAAACGTGTTGGGGTTTTTTTGGGTTTTTTAAGCGACCTAGTGCCTGGGACTGGAAGGTCCCCGTGGGGGCTTGAGCAGCTGAGCTGGAGAGGACAGGCTGTGAACCAGGGTCACTCACCCACTCCAGGGGTCCCAGTATGTAGGAGCTTTCTGAAGCGTCTATCTTGCGGTTGCCTTGGGATCACTGACCGGTTATGAGAATCACCTGGCGTGAGCGAGGCAGCCGTAGTGGAGTCCGCCGTTACCTCTGCTAGGCAGGTAGGCAGAGAGCCCAGGGTCAGAGGGCGCAGGACCAGAGATGGGAGCAAGGCAGCGTACCAAGCCTCGTTCTCAGTTGGATTTCCGGTTAGGGCGGGACATCCTCCTTAACGATGGTGCCGGTCGGCGTTTCCTTCCTCCATGAGGACAGCGAGGAGGCTCCAGGAATCGCTCGGAGTGTGGACCCGGGAGCCTGGCAAAGGTGTTGCAGTTCCAAGGGGTCCTACTGCGGATGGAAGGCGAGGCAGTGGCTGCAGCCAATGAGAAGACCACAGGCGGTGAGTCAGACTCGGCTGGTGGGAGAGAGGAGAGGAATAGAGTCCTTGCCCACTCCCCTACAGGTGTACCTAGGGGGAAGGAATACCGTTCTACCAGGAGCCCCTCATTTGTCTCCTTTGAGCCATGTGGAACCGCCCAGGAGAGTGCCCACGAGACACCTAAGGCCCCCCCCCCACTCCAATCGTTGTGGTTATTGCAATGATAAAGTCCCACAAGAACATGCCAGACCTTTTTGTTACAAATGTATCAAGTTGTCAGGGAAAGAAACCTCTGCGGTTATGAAGGATTTTTTGTCGGTGCAAATGGAGATGTTGGGCTTCTTACAATCCTTTAAGACAGCTCTGACATCCAGGGAGATGAATACTTGGTCCTCTAGGGAAGAGTCATCTTCCCAGGAGGGGACTTGGACAGGGAATCAATGGGGGGTTTGGGTCCCTCATCCTCTCAGGTCACAGAGGAGGAAGACCTAGAGGAGACTGAGGTCTCTGACCAAAGCTCCCTGGAAGAAGGGAAATATTTGGAAGGTGCTAGCCAGGTTAGTGAGGAATCTAGACTGGGTAGACACGATTTTGCTGTGGTAGATATGGAGGGGGCTCCTAAGGGCTATTTATTCCTCAGAAGACATCCCAGAACCACCAATGGAGGTCTCAGCCCAAGATGAGATCTACAGTGAGGAACAGAAGTATTTGAACACCCTGCGATTTTGCAAGTTCTCCCACTTAGAAATCATGGAGTGGTCTGAAATTCACCTTGTAGGTGCATTCCCACTCTGAGAGACAGAATAAAAAAAAATTCAGGAAATCAAATTGTATGATTTTTAAAGAATTTATTTTGTCTTGAACTGCTGAACATAAGTATTTGAACACCTAAGAAAGAGCAATAATTCTGGCTTTCAAAGACCTGTTACTGTGCCTTTTAAAAAGTCCACCTCTACTCCACTCATTAATCTAACTTAGTAGCACCTGTCTGAGCTCTTTAAAGACACCTGCCCACCCCACAGTCAGTCAGACGCCAACTACTACCATGAGTAAGACCAAAGAGCTGTCAAAAGACACCAGAGACAAAATTGTGGACTTCCACAAGGCTGGAAAGGGCTACGGGGCAATTGCCAAGCAGCGTGGTGAAAATAGATCAACTGTTGGAGCAATTGTTAGAAAATGGAAGAGGCTAAAGACGACTGTCAGTCTCCCTCAGACTGGGGCTCCATGCAAGATCTCACCTCGTGGGGTATCACTGATGATAAGAAAGGTGAGGAATCAGCCCAGAACTACAAGGGAGGAGCTGGTCAATGACATGAAGAGAGCTGGGACCACAGTTTCAAAGGTCACTGTCGGTAGAACATTACGCCGTCATGGTTTCAAATCATGCATTGCACGGAAGGTTCCCCTGCTCAAGTCATCACATGTCCAGGCCCGTCTGAAGTTTGCCAATGACCATCTGGATGATCCAGAGGAGGCATGGGAGAAAGTCATGTGGTCAGATGAGACCAAAGTAGAATTTTTGGTCTAAACTTCACTCGTCGTGTTTTGAGGAAAAAGGATGAGTTGCATCCCAAGAACGCCATCCCTACTGTGAAGCATGGGGGTGGTAACATCATGCTTTGGGGGTGCTTTTCTGTGAAGGGGACAGGACGACTGCACTGTATTAACCACTTCCAGTCCAGACACTTTTACCCCCTTCCTGTCCAGGCTAATTTTCAGCTTTCAGTGCTATCACACTTTGAATGACAATTGCGCGGTCATGCAACATTGTACCCATATGCATTTTTTAGAATTTTTTTGAGACCGATAAAGCTTTATTTTGGTGGTATTTATTCACCACTGGGATTTTTATTTTTTTTGCTATGTAAATTAAAAAGTCCCAAAATTTTGTAAGTGTTTTTCTTATAAAATTTTGCAAATAAATAGTATTTCATCATAAATCTTGGCCAAAATGTATTCCGTTATATTTTTAGTAAACGAAAAAATAACCAAATTTATAACCAAAAATGTATAATTTTTAAACATTTTTTTTTACATTTTAATTTTTTTTTTACATACTGTCACCCTAGCAGTACAGTGTCACCATGGTGACACTGTACTACTTGTGGGGGGTAATGAAGATTTTTTTTTTTTTTTTTTTACACACTGATTGCTTTTACACCCATAAAGGATGTAAAAGCAATAGTTTTCTCCTCCCTGGCTGCATTCTTGCAACCATTGAGAACTACTGAGTGAGCTGTGATTGGTCACAGCTTGTCACATAGTACAAGGCTGTTGTGAATAGCCTTGTACCATGTGACCTCTGTGATCATTCACAGATTTCACACGTAGTAAGCAATGATGTCAGAAGTGACATCTTGCTTACTACTCTGCATGTGATCACTGATTGGCCAATCAATGATCACATGATTGGGGCCTCGTACAGAGGTCCCGTCCACCGATCGGTGTTCCACTGTGTCCAGAGGAGGCAGTTTATAAACGGCCACCCGACCCTGCACTGCCACCGTCTGGCCGTTTATATACAACGGCCGGACAGGAGGTGGTTAAGGAGAGGATGAATGGGGCCATATATTGTGAGATTTTTGAACAACCACCTCCTTCCCTCAGTCAGAGCATTGAAGATGGGTCGTGGCTGGGTCTTCCAACATGACAACGACCTGAAGCACACAGCCAGGATAACCAAGGAGTGGCTCCGCAAGAAGCATATCAAGGTTCTGGAGTGGCCTAGCCAGTCTCCAGACATAAATCCAATAGAACATCTTTGGAGGGAGCTGAAACTCTGTGTTGCTCAGCGACAGCCCCGAAACCTGACATCTAGAGGAGATCTGTGTGGAGGAGTGGGCCAAAATCCCTGTTGCAGTGTATGCAAACCTGGTCAAGAACTACAGGAAACATTTCACCTCTGTAATTGCAAACAAAGGCTTCTGTACCAAATATTAACACTGATTTTCTCAGGTGTTCAAATACTTATGTTCAGCAGTGCAAGACAAATAAATTCTTTAAAAATCATACAATGTGTTTTCCTGAATTTTTTTTTTTTTTTTTAATTCTGTCTCTCAGAGTGGGATTGCACCTACAATGAGAAATCATGGAGGGGTCTGAAATTCAAAGTGGGAGAACTTGCAAAATCGCAGGGTGCTCAAATATTTCTGTTCCTCACTGTATAGGGGGTTGGTGAGGCCGCAGGCTAGGATGCTACCCGTGCACCAGGCTCTCAAAGATATTGTCTTGAGAGAGTGGAAGTATCCAGAGAGTGAGGTTTAAAAATTAAAGATCTAGAAAAGGCTGTACCCCTTTGGGGAAGAGGAGGTAGAGAATTCTTCAAGACTCCCAAGCTAGACGCGTTATCACAAGTATCTAAAAGATCTGACTTGTCCTTTTGAGGATTCAGGTAACATCAGGGATCAGATGGACCGTAGGTCTGAGACACTGTTGCACAGAGCCCGGAATGCCAATGCCGCTACTATGGCCCCAGCCTTGACATCCACTTGCATCGCTGAGGAATACTGATGCTTGGGTGCATAGAGTAAATTATCACATCTCTTGGGGTTCCAAGAAAAAAGGGGAAGCCCAGACAGAAGGTGTGAATAAAGCAGTTGCCTGCTTCGCAGATGCTGCGGTGGAGATAGTCAGGACATCAGCTAAGACTGCAGTGCTTCTTAACTGAAGGGCAGTGTGGGTTTAGACCTGGGAGGGTGATCAGATGTCAAGAGCCTGACTCTGAGGTTTGCCCTTTGAGGGTTCCTTACTGTTTTGCCTCAGGGCTTGATCAGGTGTTGTAAGAGGTCCAAAAAGGGGAAAAGGTTCCCTGTCAAGGCCAAAAAGGATAAGGAGAAGTTTTTCGAGGCACCCCTTAATCGGGGCCAGCAAAGACTTGGGAAGGACTCACCCAAGAAATGGGCAAGCAAGAGGAGACCGAAAGGGAGCTTCCTTTTTTCCGGCTCTAAACCCACCAGTAAGGACCCCAAATGACACAAATCTCGGGGTGGGCAGAAGGCTGTCCAGGTTCCTCCAGCAATGGGGGAAGATTTCGGAGAGCCTGTACAGCCTGCAGTTGATTAGGGAGGGGTACCAGTTGGGATTCTCTTCATTTTTTCCCCCTCATACTTTTTTGCTGACTTATCCCTCCAGAGGCAGGACAAGAGCAGAGGGTGTCTTCGGATGGATCAGGAGGTATTTGTTCCTGTGCCAATGGACCAGCTTTTCCGGGACATCTTCATGGTCCCAAAGTCCTCATTGAGTCCCTCCCAAACCAAGGTGTTTCTGGGGTATGTAGTGGACTCCGGAGTCCAGAGGGTCTTTTTACCCCAAGAGTAGACCGAAAAATTAGTGAGGGCTGTCTCCGGGTTGATAGCGGTTCCAGATTGCTCCCTGAGGCACATCATGAGAGTCTTAGGACTCATGACTGCATGTATTCCGGCCATACAGTGGGCACAGTTGCATTCCAGGGAGCTTCAAGTCTTCCTTCTATCCTCTTGAAACAGGAAAGTGGAGTCGCTGGGTGAGAGGGTTTCCCTCCTGGAGAATGTAAAAACCTTGCTGGGGTGGGGTTGCTCAGGCCCCAGAATCTGGGTGGTAGGAAGACCATCGGTGCAGTGGGACCCAGTTTGGGTAACCATGGATGCAAGCGAGTGGGGCTTGAGAGCTCACCTAGATGGCCAACAAGACCAGGGCCCATGGGAGCCACACCTAAGAGGGACCTCCTCCAATTGCAGGGAGCTGCTGTTAGTAGGCCAGGTCTTAGTCCTTCAAAGTTCTTTACCCAGCCTGTAACTGGACAGTGAAATAACAGACCTAGTCAGACAAACCCACTCTATTTCTCTTCAATACAATACAAGTCTGTGTGAGGACGGTTGTGATAAGGGTGTGGCTGTTACTCAGCTCTGCAAGCAAAGTACTCTGAATTGTGAGGGCAAGAGGCAGCATTTTCACTGAGGAGGAAAGGAGTACATCCTGGGACACAGAGAATCTTTATATCCGTTACAGTTGGGTCATGCTGCCATCTTCAGGTGGTTGAACACTAGCAATAAAACAAGACTGGAAATCCCCTCCCAGGCATAACCCCTCCCTGTTAGGCAAGGCTTCAGTTTTTTTGATAGTATCTTATTATGCTGGGGGTGACGCTAGGGAATTTCATCCTCGTAAGTACATTGAGGCTTGCATCCTGGCTTTCCTCCAGTCTGGGTTAATTTGGCACTGGGTCAAATTTGACCTACGAGGTCTTTATCTCAGAGACTGCTTCATATTCCTTGATGCATGTCTTTTGTGCAGGACATGTGTATTGTTCCACTGGTCAGGGCTCCTTTGATTCCCTGGAACCTCAACTTGGTACTTCAGTATTCCAGAACTCTCCATTTGAACCCATCCAGGATATTCCCTTAGTCCTTCTGACTCGTAAGGTTTTTGTTTTTTAGTTGTCGTAACTTCGGCTTGCATAGTTCCACAAATGGCTGCCCTTTTCTGTAAGGAATCCTGATGCTCCCCTGTGACAAGGTGGTTCTAGGGCCTCAGCTGTCATTTTTACCTAATGTGGTTTCTTCCTTTCATCTCAACCAAGATATTGTGTTGCCAACCTTCTGTCCAAAGCTGCAGATACCGTGGATCAAGGCTCTTCACACTCTGATGTGATTTGTGCTATCAGGTTTTATCTGAAGTCTGCTGCTGTAATTTGTCTGTCACTTTTTGTGCTTCATGAAGGGCTAAGGAAAGGACACTTATATCCAAAGAGAAATGGTAGACTGACAAAGCTCAGAAGCTATCAGCTTATCGTTCAGGCTTACAGTCTAAAAGGCAAATTTGTGGTGAAGGCTTTTTTTTTTTTTTTTTTTTTTTTTTCCCCAATGCTGCTGCATGAGGTTTTAACCTGTTTTTTATTTAGTTGTTTGGAGCCAGTTGGCCTGTTCCCATGTTATTCTCCCATCACATTTATTGCTTTGGGACATACCTATTGTAATGGTTATGAAGATGAACTTTCCCATGATGTATGATAAAGGTTTAAAGGTAAAATCATTTTCTTGGGGTATATCATGAAGCACAGGGATCCCACCCCTCTTCCTTTGTGGTTCATGGCTTGCTACAAAAACTGAAGCCTTGTCTAAAGGGGAGGAGACTTCTGTCTTGTTTGGCATCATAACCTATCATAATGGATATGAAGGTGATCTGTGTCCTGTGATGTACTCCATGAAAAGGATTTTACAGGTAAACCAAAATCCAATTTTAGGGCATTTCCAAGTAAAAATCTTTCACAAATCCTAATATATGGGGTATTGGGTTATAAATAGATGAAAAGGTACTGTAATTGAATTAGACTTTAGCCAAAATCAAAAACATACAAATCAGTACAAGGGACATAACTTACAGTCAGTATAATGTGTCCTTTATGCTGATTCCTCTTTTCCTCCTGTCCCCATGCTGTAGTACAGCATCTATGATTGGTGGATCTGGCAGAGAAGGGTGGGCATAGTTGAGCTATCTTGATTAGCGCTCTTGACAACCCTCTAGTTGTATTCTCACCCACTGCACTGAAAGATTTTGACAGCAGGTTTGAGGAGGTAGGATGGAGGAAGAGTCCTCCTAAAAGAAGAATAAGCACAAGGGACAAAACATATGTCCTCTGTGTTAATTTACATTTTTTGGATTTTAGCTAAACTTAGGCTTTAAGCAATTGGAAAAGAAAAAGGGCCACGTGGTGGACTTTATAGGCACTGCAACAGTGATAGATAAAATTATCGCTTTATCGAACATACATACATGTACAACAATTATTAAAATCCTCTGCAGAGAATGGACTCCCACAGTAATTGGAATTGTACACTCAATGCAGATGCAAATCGTACAGATACATAAGGTATTGATAAATTCCACAGCAGAAGTATACCGTAACCCGGTAAAGGTTTGAAAACAGATATTCTGATATCAGTGGCTGTAGTAACGCGACATGTTTCGTGATAATATCGCTTCTTCAGGAGTTGTAAACAGATTTCTACATAAAAAGAATGGTATATATTCCTAAGCAGCATTTTATATTGACCTATTCATCATACAGATCAATTAAGTAAATTGTCATACCTCAATCTACAGACATCTGTGCAGGGGCTGTGAAAAAGGGCCTCGGGCCTTCCCGTGCGGGGCCAGTCAGTGGGGGGATCCCAATAAACCAAGAGGGCAGGCAAAGCCCCCCAAAAATGCTTCCTGACGTATTAAAGAATAACATGATGGGGGCTTCCTAGATGGTAAATAGGGGTATGTGGATATAGAAATTGGACTAACCTCCCCACTGATAGGGGTGCACTAATGTCACCAATCCACGCCAATTTTTTTTTTTTATTTTGGCGTGGGAGTTCCCCTCAAAATCCATACCAGGCCCAAAGGGTTCTATACTTGTACGTTATACTTCTGTTGTGGAATTTATCAATACCATATGTATCTGTACGATTTGCATCTGCATTGAGTGTGCCATTCCAATTACTGTGGGAGTACATTCTCTGCAGAGGATTTTAATAATTGTACGTCTATGTATGTTCAATAAAGCGATAATTTTATCTATCACTGTCACTGTTGTAGTGCACATAAAGTCCACCAAATGGCCCTTTTTTCTTTTCCAATAGTTTGAATAGGACGTGGCACTTGGGAGCGTTGCACATATCCTCACAGTAATCACCCTGTGTTGGATACCATATCTCTATAATTTAAGCTTTAAGCAGTTTCATGGCCATGGTTGTGAAATAGAGTTGAAGTTTGGGCTGAAAATTTGCTCATTAAGAGTTATAAGAAACCAGCAGGTGCTTTAGTCTCATTGCTGACCCTGTAAATGGATTCCTATATATTTACTTTCGCTTTGCTGTTTGGTTGTTGTAAATTGACCATCATCTTAGGCTTCATGCACACTGGGTGTTTTAATATTGCTGGTAACGTTAGCTGTGTAAAGTCACATTAAAATTGTTAGTTTTTCAGTGTTTTTAATCATTTTTGCATTAGCGTTTAGCGGCATTTTTTTGCATTTGTTACCCGAAAATATTTTTTTCTCAAAAGTCCAAAAACGCTGGTTTGCTACATTTTTGCCGTGTTTTTCAGCATTATAGCATTTTTACAGCTAAACTCCTAGAAACCCACTAGATTTGGGTTTTTTTCCAGCCAAAAAACACCCCTGCTAAAAAACGCAATTATAGTCTGTGGGCATGGATACATAGGATAATATGCTGGGGAGTTTACTGGCTGTAGAAAAAAACGCCAAAAGCCAGAGACAGCAGCTGTAAAAACATCCCGTGTGCATGAGAACCTAATATTAAAAAAGTCTAAAGTTAATTTGTTTTTTTTTTTGTTTATGAACAGTTGACATCAAGTGTTGTAAATACACAGAAGAAACCTGAGCCAGCAGCCAAGCTTACAAAATTAAAGTCTGCATCACCAGCTAAGAGCCCTGTTGTGACTAAACCTGATGACAGCACTGACACATCTTCTTCAGACAGTGAGGAGGCCAAGCCTGTTCAGGTGTGTTAACTTGCAGCAACACAGTGGCTCAAAGACGAGCACTGGCACTTTGTGGCGTTGGTATCTGGGGTTTAGGGGACTGTTTGCAAAGTTTCTCTGTTTCCTATCTGTTTACATGGTTGTAATCTCTATGCATATAGGTTGGGCACTCAAACTGTAAGCAATCCATTAATAAATATTGATGGCAGAAATACATTTTAGATTTTTTGCTGGCCACATGAGGTGCTATCCAACTCCTCTGCTCTGCATGACTTTGGTTGGTTAGCGGGACTAAGTTGCAGCATGTCTGGGAATGAAGAGCAGCAACATCACCATGACATAAATCTTGCTGATCAAATGATCGACTGATTATCTCTTTGTTGATGAGCAGGATGTTATAACCGATATCGTGAACAGAAAAATCCGGTTGAACAACAGTGAAAAATGTTGTAGTTTCGCATGCGAATGACCGATTTTCTATGCAGTGGTATGACGGTTATCTGAAAAAAATCTATCAAGCGCTATCACGCATGAGCGGAAACAGAAGATGACCCGGATTTTTATGTCCAAGGATCCATAAATCCAATTTATTCCAATTTATTCCAATTTTGTCCAAATGTCCAAGGATCCATAAATCTAAATCCAATTCCAAGGATTTATGTCCAATCGCTCGTTCTGGGCGTCAGGACATTGAACACTCGTTCTGGGCGGAACGGTGAGGCTACAAGGCCGCACGCACACTGCATCACTTCCACTTGTACGAAAGACGACAACACTACGTATTGCTCGACTTAACAATTTTTTTTGATTGGTTAATGTGGGCCACAATTTCGACCAATGAACAAACGCCGATCGGTCGTCAGATGACCGATCGGTCGATTTTCTAACCGTGTATTCCTGCCATTACTTGGTGATCTCACAAAGTATGCTGCCACTGTGCTCTTCACTATGACAGTGAGGCTCCATGGAAAGCTCGCTGTCTATTGCCTAGTCACACAAGCAGCTAATTGGTGGATTCAGGAGGCCATTGATGAATAGGCCTGGGCAATCAAAAGGTTAGACACTAAGAGTTGCTCAACCACTATTGGCTATACCCCTTTCCTAAGCACTAGTTCTCAACCCTGGCATAAGGAAAACTTCTAGCAGGTATCAATAGTATGCTCCCCTGTTCATTCCCTGCTACTGCTCTGTTCTGTGCTTGAATGAATATAGTGCAATGAGAGTGCACCGCTACCCTGCTTGATACTCCATATTCACATATGAATGATGGCAGAAACTTGCATTTACATATATCAATACAATATACCATCTGAGTACTCAAACTATACAAAGTACAAAATATATCACTTTAACAGCAATTCTGAATGGTGGTGGAAACCCCTCAAAGAAAAATTGTCACAAAATGTGTGCAGAAGTGCACAATATATACCAAAATCCAAATTTGCCAGGGGTGTGGGAGCACATAAGTGTCCAGTTGCAAGCCTGCCATATAGATTGCACTTTATTGTCTTTCATATAGTAGTGCAGTGGTGTATTACATATTTACTGTGCTGGAATACCAAGCTCTCAGGCGAAGCTCCACCAATTTGTGATAGTCTCTGGACTTGCCTGCCACCACCCCCCACATATTCATATTGGGTTATAGCCCTATGCTGAACTGACTTAATTGCCAACAAGAATGTGTGAGGCAGATGGGAACAGGTATGCTCCATCACTGCATGAGTACCTAGGCTTTTCCCAATTCGGAACCACTTTGCGTTTAGCCTTAGCAGATGGCCGTGATATTCCAGATACATGCTCAAGGTGCCAGCATTTTATACCTGCTTCCAACTTTTTTTTTTTTTCGTTTTTAGTAGGTGAACTCTTTATCATTTTACTGGCCAGATTAATGTGATATAATCACAAACTTCCTAGAACTGGTTTTACTAGCCTTAAAGCTGTTGTCCAGTCTCCTCTGAGGAAAATAAGTCAGCAGCTACAAAAAGCCACTGTTTGAAAACAGCTTGCGGCTGCACAGTCAGGTGCCTACTGTGCATGCAGGAGAAACGCTGCACATTGTGAATGGTCCCACAGTCTTTTAGTACCTGTCGTATGTCCCAAAAGACTGCGTGGGGGGTTGGGAGAACTTCTGCTTCCGATGGACGGTCGGAATGGAAGTGGGAGCAAGTACCTCTCAAAATCATTAGGTACCTGCTCTCCACCCCCCCCCCCCCTTCCCCATGCCCCTTAAAGATGCCAATTCTTCACAAGGAGCTAGGATCCAGTCCTTAAAGCGGAACTTCCCCTTTTGGGTGAAGCTCTGCTTTAAGAAAATATGGGCCCATTTTGGATTTTCTTATAACTAGTCAGTCTGTTCAAAGATATATTAGGTGTGGAGAGCAGGCCATGGAAAGATGAGAGGACTGAAACATTTGTTATATTGCAGGATAAAAGTGCTGCCGCTGGAAATCTCAAATCTAGCCAGAAGCCAGTTGGTAGAAGTGTTAGCAAACTATCAAGCACTGGTAAGAAAAACACCCTTTCTCCCCATTTTTGTATTTTTCTTAAACTGACTTATGTAAGTGGTTTTAGTATCTAGTATGTTGATGCAATGTCATATATTTCTTTGTCTTTGGAACAGATGTTAAAAAGAGTAAGTCAGCGGTTCATCCAACACAGTCAGGTGGCAGCAAGCCAAAAGATTCTCAGGTATCACTGAATTCAATCAGAACATGTTTATTTCCTTTTCAATTCTGCCATGTATGTTCACAAAGCAGTCTTTAGCTAGTGCATGTAGCTTAACTGGGCTTTATTTCTTTTTCAAGCCTCTCCTCAAAATGACATCTCCTGTGATAACTACTCCAAAGAAAAGGAAGAGGGCCTCAGAAACCACAAGCATATTGGATTCGGTTGCTGAAAAAATAAGTAAGAAAAAGGAGACTAAAAAAAAAGTCCAGCCTGATACAATACCAGTTCCTCCAATGGCTTCTCCAGAAAAATCTGCATCAGCAGTAGGTTAGTGCAGACACGTGACTCTCCTTCCTGCTTTTTTTTTTTTTTTTTTTTTTTTTTAATTAATTATTATTATACTCTGATCAATAGATTATATTGTGCTCCGCTGGCTTTGGACTCCAAAGCCAGCAGATCACAATGCATATTTGTAAAGCATACTATTGGCATGGCTGCAGCATTTTTAAAGTGTGACTAAACCCTTAACAACATTAAAAAAAATGTTTAGCAAAGGACATACTGTACATTCCACATTAATAATTATGCTGCCAAACTGAGTGTGTGCTGTAAATTGCCCCCAGCACTGTTCCTTGTTTCTTCCTGGAGGATGCCATTTGCCGAAGCCCTGAGTCCCTGAGAAGCATTAAATCTTTAGCCTGTCAGCAGATTGGCCCCAACATTTTCGACACATTGCCAAAATATAAAGCGCTACTGTGAATCTGCATAGCAGGGTTAGACAGTGTATTACTGGATTTTAAACAATATAGACACCTATGTTTTGAATAGCTATAATTGGATAAGGGGCCAGCTCAGGCTGGCAGTGATCTAGAAGGTCTTCATTTTATTACCAAATGCCTTGGGGCTACACTGTCAGCTATTTCCAGCACAGCCCCAATACACAAAAAAAGCCTTATTTCCAGTGCTGTCAGCACACATCACAGCAATGCTGTAGTGTGAACTGAGAAGAAAAAAATTACTGCATTTATGTACAATATCTTAGTGCGCCAGGTTGAAGCATTAGCCACTGCATTGCAACACTGCTTCTGTAAATAGAACTATATTAAAATATCACTCATGACATTTTTATAAAGCTAAATTAAAAAAAACAAAAGGTAAACTGTATGGTGCATCAGCGTCAGTGCATCTGCACTGTCTCTCCTATCGCACACCAGCAGCCATGCTGTCATTGTGACTCAGTGGTGTAACTTGTAACTGCCACAACAGGTGAATGGATATTCATATTTGGGTGCCCTAAATTAAGCTATTCATCCAGATAGTGTTGGAGCCTATGGCTACAGTTCATTCCCACACATTCCTATTGACCGTTATTATGATGATGATTGCCTCACTGGCCAACAAGAATAGGCTGGGGATTTGGCTGTAATTACAGGTTATTAGAGGTTTCTGCAGGTATGTGCAAACACCTCTAGGCATTTGCATTTTGTGGCAAATTTTTTAGGTTTTTTTTTTTTTTTTTTGGCCAGGTAAATGGCCAAATAGATAAAATAAAGACAAGGTAGCTATTTAACCTGCCAAAAGGTTTCTCTTTCTGCTCATCCAGTGCTAACATTTACACATCCCTGTTGCAGTTTAGTGATTCTTGAAGGTTTTGTCCCTCCCTTGTCCTCTGACAGAGCAATGATGGAGAAGCAGAACACACACGAGCTGAAGTCTCTGACCTCCCATTATTTTTTTTTTTTTTTTTTCATTCCTGCAGTTCAGCTTTAAGAACGGTATCTTTATTGTTTGAATATAATAGATTACTAATTAGCAGTGCCAGGACAAGGTCATCCAGTGCCCAGGACGAAGATGCCAAACTGCACCACCCACCCCATGTTATGCATGACCAGTCCTCTTACGTCTGGTAACCACACCTAATCATTATACCTACATATAGAGTGCAGAAGTCAGGATTGAATATATTACGAAGTGCAAATGTCAGGAGCAAAAATAGTGTCCAGAGTGGAAGAATCCAGAACGGGAACAGTGGGCCTGTGTGCAGAATCATACAGTGGGTCCTGCTTCTAGCAGGCAAAGTGCGATGTGTGGCACAAATTGGGTGTTGCTCACTGTGCTGACTATTGGATGTGGCTTAAAGGGATGCACAGTGCAAGGGTTCAGTAGCAAGTTATGTTGAGTTCAGGGGTCAGGAAAAAAATAAATTGGCTTTTATGATCATGGAAGTGGGGAAAGGGGGGTTCAGAAGATCCAACGTTTACTAGGGTAGGGAGGGTCCCACTTTAAAGGTCGTTTACGGCTTGTTCCGAATATCTACAATATCTACAAAATGTGCTTGAACTGGGGACTGATTCACTTAATGAATTATAAAACCCAAAACCATAAATGTTATTTATTGAAGCTTGCCAATCAGATGTGGTGGCTGCATTTTTTTATTTTTATTTTTTTTATTTTTTTATTTATTTTTTTTTTTTAGGCTTTTTCCCCCCTCTGTTTTCACCTGTTGATCTGGCTAGTAACATACCTCCTCCTGTATTAGGGTACTGCCACTCTGGATGAAGGAGCACAGGGGGCACAGCAAGCAAGTCTTTGGGGGGGGAGGGAGGATAGTGTTAGATTGTTAGCTGTAAACACACTAACAAACTAAAGCCAAATTCCCACATTTTATAATCCGTGACAGCAAACTTTTTTTTTTTTCTTTTTGTGATAAAGGTTTTGCATAAATAAAAGGTGATCATTGTAAACACCCCTGTTTGTGGTAAATGTTTTGTTTGAACCCTGTAACTGCTCCAAATGTAAAGCAGTTTGATATGTTAAAACAAAAAGAAAACAAATGCATCATCACATCTAAGAATTGGTAAGCTGCAATGTACTTTAGTAAATGTTTGCTTTTGGGTTTCATGTGACTTTAACCCTTTCACTGTCAGGTCAGTTTGCCGTACGGACCTATAGCATGGCTTCTTGCTGGCCAGGTCCATACAACGTACAGACATGATTCCTGCTTCTGCTATGAGCCCATGGTCACTGATCAGAGCTGTTCACTTATAATGTGACACTCCCCCCTCTGCCGGCCTGTCACCTACCGCTTCTTTCCCCTCTACCTAATCTGCTAGGTAGTCAGGTGTAAGCGGCAGACGGTCCGTTTACATTCCACCGCCTATAGAGGACATTGGGCTGTGTCTGTTCTACATAAGCGGAGCAGACACAGACCCGCCATCCGCCTGCTCAGCAGGAATCAGCGAACAGATTGCCTGCATCGAAGTCTCCCTTGCCTCCGAAACCCGATCTGCAAATTCATGCTCCAACAGCTTCCTCACTGCCTGTTTTAACCCAGTTTATGCCAACAAATGCTCCGCAACCACATGTATTGCACGTGGTTGTAGGGCATTTGTGACACTTATCCATTGACTTGAATGTGTAGCATTCGGTGCGTGCAAAGCAACTTTGCCATAGGCTCGAAGCGACACATTGCAGCCACAGCATGTAAAAACCCCCCTTTGCTGACTATTGCACCCAAAGGGGGGGGGGGTTGTCAGGTGGCAGAAATGCAGTTCATCAGCACATTTTTGCCGCCCCCTTTCCCCCCCAACTGCAAGTCTAAACAAGGACCTCATTCACGTGGGGCATATTACAAGAAGGCTGTGTTTAGCTGCACAGTAATGCACAAGTGTTCTGTGCATCCCCATGCAGGCAGTCTCATCAATGTCAATTGGGACACAGCAGCTGCGGGGGAATGCACAAGTATTCAATGCATTCCTGTGCAGGCAGTCCCATTCATGTCAATAGGGACACAGCCATTTCTCCCAACTTGACATCCATGTGGGTGCATGTCCCTGAACTCACACTGTGCATTTGGGGCCATACACCTACACCTGCATGGATGTCTGCACCTTTTTTTGGTTTAGGAGGTATTTTACAAACTCTGAAAGCTGTAAGGGAAAAATAAAAAAAGCAATAGAAAAATTGCAAAAATGGCCCGTCCAGCTGAGTTTCTAAGTGGAGTGCAGGGTCTGATTGCGATTTCTATTGAGGAATTGATGCTGTACGAGGTGGTGTGTAGTTTTTCTGTTTTTTCCTGTTGCTGGCTGGTTGACATCAACAACAGGATCATAATGTACTTTGTGTTTGGTTTGCTAGGAGTTAAGTAATCCTGACAGTCTGAACTGTTACTGCATTCCTGGTAGTTTCTGGGTCAATGCAGAACATACATCACTAGCCTATAGAAAACCCGCATCCACCTTTCCACACTTCAGCACACTGGTCTCCTCTACCTTCTGCTCTGATGTCTGAAGTCAACATGGGAAAAAGAATGAGGACGACAAGCTCTGGCACAGGCAGCTCTGATTCCCAACAAACTCGAATGGCATTTGCAGCTTGCTGAAATAATGTTTCTACAACCTTCTAGAAACTCCCAGCCTTTATTCCCAGCACTGCCCTAGTCTGCACCCGATGCCCCCTCCCCCACACTGTGCCCAGGGGGCACTGGCACACCCCCCCCCCCCCCCCTTTGTCCCAGTTCTGATAATAGGTCTTATCTCTGTTTGCACTGTTCAATCCCCACCTATACCTTTTTTTCTTCTAGCCTTGTTGGAATCTGAAGAAGAAACAGTTTTGGCCCTACTTGAAGGAAGGAGTCCAAAGAAAGCAAAGAAAAATAAAGTATCTAAGCAAGCCGCTGAGACTGCAGTAGTTAATGTTGCCACACCTACAGCACAGAATAATGATGTACCCAAGAAGATTTCTCTACCTCATCCCCTTCTGTCTTCATGGGTCCCTGAGAGTCCAACCTCAGGAGATGACAAGAGTGGCCAGCCTACTACAGAGGTTGCTTCACAGTCTGATAAGAAAGCAAAGAGCAGCAAGAAACGCAAGATCTCCCAAGACCTCGAAAAGCAGAATCAAAAGCCAGCCAAAAAAGCAAAGGACAAGCAGGAAAAAAAGATTCAGAAGGGTATGGAAGAGGAAGCAAATGTAACCCCAAAACCTAAGTCTGATGAAAAGAAATCTGAAAAGGACAGATCAAAGAAAAGTGAGTGTTCTGGTTTTGGTCATTCTATGTTGGTGAAACCTGAGTGCATTCTTGTCTTCATTCATGTGTTTTTCTAACTCTGGTAAGTGTATAAATTACATTTTTCTGAAAAATCAGTCGGGGTATCCTTGCAGAGGTCATGTAGCTGTTTCATTACACAGCTAGAATTGAATAGACTGAACATTTTGCAAGTGTAGACGAATCTGAGAAAATGAAAAAAAAAATAATGCTGTTTCTTTGAACCTTCGTTGGTGGACAGTGTCCACTGGGGTGTTAGCCCTGCTCTTAGGAGGATAGGCACAAAGTAGAAAGGTATACTTCTCCCTCTGTGGATTATATTTCCTCTGCACAGGAAGTGAGAGCTCGGTTGCAGCTTGGTCTCATAGGATGTCCTAAGTTTCTCTTGCTTGAAAAGGTTGGTGTGTGTGTGTTCGTTCAAATCATATTTGTATTTCATTTATTTAGATTTTTCTGAGGTTTTATTCTGGTCTGGTCCCTGGACTTTTTTTTGCTCTCGGCAGTATTAGCTATTGACCCCTTTTTAGGTCCAGAGCCACTGGCGTTGCCTCAGCTATTTCCCTTTCTCTGAAAACTCATTCAGTTAGGCTGGTCGAGCTGAGCACCTGGAGTTACCTCATATATGTTGGTCATTGGGCACCTTTAATTCTCCATTTCTGTCACTTTTGCTGCATAAGGGGTTATTGAGCGCTGGTATCATCTACTGGGCTAACTCTCACATGCATGCTGCACAATTTCCCATTATACAGTTTTATGGAAGAATGCCATTACTGGCTTGTACAGTATCTGATCAAATGGAGGGGGGGGGGGGTGCGTGAATTTTCATAGTTACCCTGGGCACTGAATGTCCTTGTCCTGGCAGTGCCCTGAACCATCCAGTCATCACATGTCTGATTCTACACTGGGGGAATGGAATGATCCAGCTGCACTGGGTGCCGTAAGCTCACATTCTACTAATAGCCCCAGAACTACTTGCTTGTACTTGTTATCTTTGTTTCTTTTTAGTAAGTTTGTTTGCTTCCCTAAGTGCTTATTAGCCTTGTTTCCTTTTTTTATTCCATTCCTACTGTGGATCCGGCAGTGTCTTTACTACGAAGGCACTTACTCTTACAGTATAGTGGACTACTTGTTCTTTTAAGGACCCAAATGATAAGCGGTTGGAAGCCAGGGTTGCCAACGTCCATCACTTTGACAGTTTGTAAGAAAAACATCCTGATTTCTCCAGACCATAAATGTCAGTTACCAGAATTTAACCACTAGCCTACAGGGCACATATACCCCCTTCCTGCCCAGGCCAATTTTCAGCTATCAGCACTGTCGCACTTTGACAATTGCGCGGTCATACAACACTGTACCCATATGAAATTTTTATAATTTTTGTGAGACAGATAGAGCTTTCTTTTGGTGGTATTTAACCACCTCTGGGGTTTTTTATTTTTTGCTAAACAAACCAAAAACAACTGAAAAGTTTGAAAAAAAAGTTTTTTCTTCGTTTTTGTTTTAAAAAATTTTGTAAATAAGTGAATTTTTTCTCCTTCACTGATGTGTGCTAATGAGGCTGCACTGATAGGCTGCACTGATAGGTGGCACTGGGCACTGATGAGGAGGCACTGATGGGCATTGACAGGCATCACTGATGGGCACTGAAAGGCAGCACTCATATATGGCACTGATAGGTGGCACTAATAAGAGGCACTGACTGGCACTGTTAGGTGGCACTGATGGGCAGCACTGATTGGCACTGATTGCAAGCACTGATAGGTGGCACTGACTGGCATTGATATGTGACACTGAAAGGCAACTCAGATGGGCACTGATATGTGGCATTGATGTGCACTGGTAGGCACTGATATGTGGCACTGATGGGCACTGGCAGGTAGCACTGCTGGGGCTACACTGATAATCAGGGTACACTGATCATCAATGCCCTGATGATCAGTGTACATGTCCCCTCAGAGGAATGCTCTCCTCTCGAGCTGTTAGTGTGACAGCTTGTGAGAAGAGAAATGCCGATAACCGGCATTTCCCTGTTTACATGCGATCAGCTGTGATTGGACACAGCTGATCACATGACCGAGCCGAAATCTTTGGCACTTTCCATGATCGGTGATTTGCTGTGTCCACCGATCGCTGAGCTGCGCACTCCTGCAGCCGCGCATGCGTGGTTAGAGTGGGAGGGCGTCATATGATGTCCTCCCACAACAAGAGAACCGCATTACGCCCGTCATTGACTTATATGGCGGGCGGGAGGCGGTTTAATGGCACTTCTACTTTCTCAAGCCATGTCTGACTGGTCAAAATTCCTTAATGGGAATCCAGCAGCTGTTGTGGTTGATTGCTGATAGAATGCATAGAGCAGATGGCTGTAGCACTTATTCATGTCGGTGCATATATGCAAGGTATTGCGGTTAGCGTGCTGGACTGTTGAACCACATGGTCTTTTAAGAGATAACATCTCTTTAGACTGGCTCTTGACAACATCTTTAAAGTGGAGTTCCACTCACCCTGTCAAAAAATAAGTCTGCAGCTACAAAAACTGTAGTTGCTCACTTTTAAAAAAACAGCCACTTACCTGTCCCTTGGTCCCGCGGTGTGTCCCCCACAGCCAGTTTCACCGGCTGTCCTATATTCCAGGAGGCCAGCATCTTCAGTGTGGGCACCCAGCTGTAATATCTTGCGGCTTCATAGCCGGGTACCCACTGCGCATGCGCGAGTAGCGCTGTGCTTCATGAATTGTCCTGTAGTCTTCTGGGACCTGTCACGTGTCCCAAAAGACTACAGGGAGGGAGGACACCTTCCGTTTCCAATCGCCTAGGCGATTGAACTGGACGTGGGAGCAGTTACCTGTCAAATTTGGGTACTTGCTCCCTGCCCCCCCAAAGGTGCCAATCCTTAATGGGGAGCAGTCCTTAAAGCGGAACTTCCCCTTTTGGGTGGAGCTCCGCTTTAAGGATGCTACTGGTGATACTTTACTATTTTTAGGTGATACATCAAGGCCCTTAACATCAGCTATATCCCTGATTTCTCCATATGGTCAGTTCTCAGGGTTCACCATCAATTGGAACAAATCTGTACTCCTGCTGTTGAACCCCATTTGTGAAAACCTACCTGTGATGATCGCAGCGTCAGACCCCAGCCCTTCTCACCAAACTCATGAGTGAAGGACTAGCCAATCTAAAACCGCGCTGTCACGGGCGTAACAATGCCAAGCCCAGCTGCACCCTGGACAAAGATTTTCCAGCTAATGGACCACAACCTGTGTGCCAGCAGCCTGGGAGTGATTGTTACTGGGTCAGGTTAATTACGCAATTAACCTTTCACACTGCCACCACCTCCTTTTTGTACAGAGAAAGAGGACACTCGGCAATATCCGCAATAAAACTATGATGTTTGCATAAGCGTCTGTATACCACTGTCACCGCAGGCAGATTATACAGAAGTTTAAAACACACACACAGTAGCGCTCTTCAGAGGCAGGGGTTCTTTAGTTTGCATTAAAGAGCTTTAGAAACCGTTCAACACTTTCAGTAAGTAAGATTTATTACTAAAAGATCAAAAGGGTGCAATAAAAATATTTACAGAAAAAAATGTAGCCAACATATATATAAATATACAAAGAGCAATAGCACAGCAAAGCGATAACAGAAAGCAGTTTAGAGGGATAAAGTACTTGCCGTCAGCCTTGGGTTAAGCAGTTTTCAAGTTCAGAGCAAAAGGGCCATCTCCCAGAGTTGGTTCCGATGTTACAAGGGAGAATCTTCAACTTAGCTCAACTCAGCTTAACTTCAGGCATCACAGCCTTTATCTAGGAACTCAGCAGGGTGTCTCCCTGAAGCAGAGAACCAATTGCCTCATTTGGGCGGGTGTGGGTGGCAGGCGGAAACCCAAGCTATGACCACAAAACCCTCTTTGCTTATATTATTTTTCATAACTTACCCTGGATACATATAACATTCTATCCATGAGTAGATTAATACGCAGAATCTTCTGCTGAACGTCTACATATGAAATATGAGATACCTGCTTGGATGGTTAAGGAGATATAATTTTCTGCTCTCCTGTATATGCCAGCTAGGGGGTATAATATACCAGGCGACTTGTCTTAAAGTGAGCCGTCCGAATATGTGCTCCATGTTTATGTAATTATGTCCTATTTGAAAATATAAAATTATATGGAAAAGTGAGTTTTTAAATGTAAGTCTGTTTTTACGACTACCTGGAATGTCTTTGAGGCTTCGTGAGGGCTGGGTTTATGGTTTGACAATCCCTTCTCCAGCAAGAGTCTCGCAGACATAGGGGCACCAGCTAGTTGGTGTTTATAGCCATGACGCCCTCTCAATGAGTTTGCTGCCTGTGATCTCTGTCATCAAACAGACCACATGTCACTCAACAGAGAGGGAGGGGGGATGTCGGAGGAATCTGATTTGGGAGAGAGAGATACAAGATGGAGGGTTTGGAGCAAAATGGATGACCGCGTCCATCTCTGTGTGCACGATTGCTACACTACCTACAGTGGCCAACCAAATTACTTTGGTGTTCTCCTTTCAATACTTTGACATACAGATTTCCCCCCGTGCTTAGTGAATATATTGAACTAAATATAGAGCCTCTCCTAACAAAATTTAAATAAAAACTCTAAGACTTGTTGCAAATTTCCTTTATCTGTTTTTTATGGAGAGCAAAAGTCAAAATGTTCTGGATGCCCCAATTGCTAAACGGTTTCCATAATTTTGGATACTGCAATGGGTGTTAAGGACGGTGGATTCCTTTTTTCAGGGATCTCATTTGGAAACAGAAATTACCCAGAATCATGTTAGATATTCTACAATTCCCCAAAGATGGAGGTGGCCTAACTTGTACCTAAAGCTAGGCTCCATATTTATAGCATCTCAGTTGCAGCAGGCCGCAGGGTGAGACAATTTAAATCTACAAGACCTGTTCTGAGGTTGATCTCTTCTCTGGGACCCCCTTGTCTTCTATCTAGAGCAGCGGTTCTCAACCTGGGGGTCGCGACCCCTTTGGGGGTCGAACGACCATTTCCCAGGGGTCGCCTAAGACCATCGGAAAACACATATTTCCGATGGTCTTAGGAACCGAGACACCGCTGCAGTGTCCGGCGATGTGTGGGCGGGATGATACGCTGCTGTCACCTGGCCACACCTCCGGGATCGCTCAGCAGCTCCCGCCTCCTCGCCGCTGATTGGCCACCGGAACTGTAGCTCAGGAGAGGCACACAGGCGGCCAATCACCGGCGAGGAGGTGGAGCTTGGAGAGGAGGAGCCGAGCGGCAGTGCGCGTACATCAAAGAAGACCGAGGGAGCTGCCGGAGCAAGTGAAGAGGAGAGCGGCCAGAGAAGGAAGACAGCTGACAGGTAAGTGAGAGAGCGAGCCCAGGCTGGAGCAGGGTCAGCAAGGTAAGTATCATTGGTGTCAGTGGGAGGAATAGTGCCCCATCATTTGTGTCACTAATACCAACGATGGGGCACTATTCCTCCCCCCACTGACACCAACGATGGGGCACTATTCCTCCCCCCACTGACACCAACGATGGGGCACTATTCCTCCCCCCACTGACACCAACGATGGGGCACTATTCCTCCCCCCACTGGCACCAACGATGGGGCACTATTCCTCCCCCCACTGGCACCAACGATGGGGCACTATTCCTCCCCCCACTGGCACCAACGATGGGGCACTATTCCTCCCCCCACTGGCACCAACGATGGGGCACTATTCCTCCCCCCACTGGCACCAACGATGGGGCACTATTCCTCCCCCCACTGGCACCAACGATGGGGCACTATTCCTCCCCCCACTGGCACCAACGATGGGGCACTATTCCTCCCCCCACTGGCACCAACGATGGGGCACTATTCCTCCCCCCACTGGCACCAACGATGGGGCACTATTCCTCCCCCCACTGACACCAACGATGGGGCACTATTCCTCCCCCCACTGACACCAACGATGGGGCACTATTCCTCCCCCCACTGACACCAACGATGGGGCACTATTCCTCCCCCCCACTGACACCAACGATGGGGCACTATTCCTCCCCCACTGACACCAACGATGGGGCACTATTCCTCCCCCCACTGACACCAACGATGGGGCACTATTCCTCCCCCCACTGACACCAACGATGGGGCACTATTCCTCCCCCCACTGACACCAACGATGGGGCACTATTCCTCCCCCCACTGACACCAACGATGGGGCACTATTCCTCCCCCCACTGACACCAACGATGGGGCACTATTCCTCCCCCCACTGACACCAACGATGGGGCACTATTCCTCCCCCCACTGACACCAACGATGGGGCACTATTCCTCCCCCCACTGACACCAACGATGGGGCACTATTCCTCCCCCCACTGACACCAACGATGGGCACTATTCCTCCCCCCACTGACACCAACGATGGGGCACTATTCCTCCCCCCACTGACACCAACGATGGGGCACTATTCCTCCCCCCACTGACACCAACGATGGGGCACTATTCCTCCCCCCACTGACACCAACGATGGGGCACTATTCCTCCCCCCACTGACACCAACGATGGGGCACTATTCCTCCCCCCACTGACACCAACGATGGGGCACTATTCCTCCCCCCACTGACACCAACGATGGGGCACTATTCCTCCCCCCACTGACACCAACGATGGGGCACTATTCCTCCCCCCACTGACACCAACGATGGGCACTATTCCTCCCCCCCACTGACACCAACGATGGGGCACTATTCCTCCCCCCACTGACACCAACGATGGGGCACTATTCCTCCCCCCACTGACACCAACGATGGGGCACTATTCCTCCCCCCACTGACACCAACGATGGGGCACTATTCCTCCCCCCACTGACACCAACGATGGGGCACTATTCCTCCCCCCACTGACACCAACGATGGGGCACTATTCCTCCCCCCACTGACACCAACGATGGGGCACTATTCCTCCCCCCACTGACACCAACGATGGGGCACTATTCCTCCCCCCCACTGACACCAACGATGGGGCACTATTCCTCCCCCCACTGACACCAACGATGGGGCACTATTCCTCCCCCCACTGACACCAACGATGGGGCACTATTCCTCCCCCC